AGATTGCCTTTTTGTCCTTTAGCTACAAAGGCTTTCAGCTAATCCGAAAAAAAAATCCAAATATGCACTTTTTGGATTATAGCTGCAGTTCTCCGTGGACTACCCACGGAATTCACTACAGCAAAGAGAAGAAAACGATAAAAACCTTTTTCCACCATTTCAATGATTTACGGTCAAGATCATATAGACCTGCCATTTGGTCGGCCAAATCGACACCTCCCATCATTTTTCTGTATAAGACAATGGCTTCAGGACAACCGATGGTTTCTCGTGAGCCATCTTTTTTTGCACCGTGTTCATTTCACCACCATGACAGTTGCTCAAAAGAAATACCTCTTTGAATCCATCCATCTCACGCAAAGAACACCCACATCATTGCCCAGGAAATTAGCTTCACCTTTTTTTATTTGCAACAGCGTCCCTTGGGCATGTTCTTCCTATTTTTCATGCAGGTAACAACAGCAGCAAAATTTAGATCCCTCATCAAATTTACAGATGTAAAATAACGGTCGAAGGCCAAAGTGACATCGCTTTCTTTTATAGATGAAACAAGCTGTTTTGACTACTCTTCACAAAGATTCCTTACTGGCTGACAGCTTCTTTTCCCCCATAAATATCCATGTCGTAGGTGTATTCCAGTACGAGTCGGCAACACATCCAGACTTTGATTCCCCTTTTCACAGGTTTAGCTGGCATGTACTTGAATGTATTTGAAAGAACTTCTACCTTTAAATTTTGTCATTGACTCGTAGCTAAGCTTTGGAAAACGCTGTCTTGTCTAATACTCTGAAAAGTTGATTTCAGACCACGCATAAAAGTTCTTCCAACATAAAAACGTCTTAGCAGCATCGGTGGGTTATTCTGGATGTGTTTGAAATACCCTGTGAAGGAAAGAAGCCTTGAACCTCTTTTCTAGAAAACGTGCCTTGATCACAGGCACTTCCAATGGAAGGTTTAGATTGACCAGTAGCAGTTCACTGTCGGAAAAGCTTGGGCGAAAGCGGACATTACAAGGAGACAACCAACCAATGACATCATCTTATGTGGACTAGTTTTTTGATTATTTTTTTCTTCGTTTTCCAAATTTGTATCTCTGGTTTGTGTAGTATGCCATTGTATAAATAAACTCCATGGTCACCATTTCTTAAGAATATTCCGCATATATAAAATTTTGGTGTAAATCTAGAGACGTCTTTCCAGTTGGATGGCGAAGCTAGACTTGCATCCATAGGTTCCACACCATCATCTGAGTTAAACAGCATTATCATCATTCTTTCGCGCAAACTTTGCTCGTTTGCCTCTAAATTTGGTAGTATGAATTATGATTGCAATATATTTCAGTTTGGTTTTGAGGTCAATCTAGCCCTAGAATGCTTGTGCTAATATGTACCCGCAGTATATTAGTTTAATTTGTATTTTCATTCCTTCGTGCATGTAACCGGCGTGTATTACAATTGTTCCAGGCATAACGCTAGATTTAGGTGTATATTATCGTGTTTTTCTACATATATTCGTGTAGTATGAGTTCGAAGACCAATTAGATGGGATCTTAGTGTTTTTTTGTTTACTTTTCCAGTATGTGACCAGATGAGACCGGCCACGTCGTTAGTACTTGTGTATTAGTACCTAATATGAAGTTTTGGCAGCTTACTTGAATTTGATTCCAGTGTGTTTGTCAAGTTATCTTGTACTAGTGGTCGGCATAGTTTTTTAATTGAGGCCCAAGTAGGGTGCTACCGTAGATGGTGCACACTGCACAACCTGAACCCTAACCTGGTACACAATACACATACTATGTTCAGGAAGTAAGATAGAATTTCGTTGGAAATTTTAAATTTAGCCACATTATAAACTTGTTAAGGGACATTTAATTAAAATTTATTTGAGGCCCACTACAAAATGCTCGGCGGTCCACAATTGGGCCGCGGCTCACAGTTTGCCGACACACTGTTTTTTTTTTACCATGACGGATTTTAAAATAAATTATCCTGTCCGCTTGTTCCGCTACGCAATTAAAAGGACCGTACATAGTTTTAGTTCAAGATTACACGCGAAAATATCAAAAGCCTCAGTAATATAAAAGTTCCACAAAAAAAGTAACTTTTATTTATATTATCGAAATTGAAAAATATACACGCAAACAAGCTAAACTTTGATGATTTGCCGAACAAACAAGAAGTTATCTGAACAAAATTACGGAACATAAAAATCGCTCGTGTCCACTTTTTGAAACGCCCTATGTTGAAGATTGTTCGTTTGTGCAATTTTATTCTCCCCTGTTGTATGGATTTTACGTGACTAATGTTTGTCGACATTTTGGTATATTTTTACTTTTTGTTCTTCGTGGTTTATTAAATTATATTTGAAATTAAATACGGAACCTCGGCGTCTCCTAATGTTGTTAAGTAATTAAGTTTGTATCCGGAATAGATAAAATTAAAAATCTATAATAATTTATCGTCATAACTAAGACTTGGAGAGTTTGAAATGATTTCGATTAAAATCAAATTTCAGACATCTGTTACAAAACTTGGCCAACTGATTATTCAAATTTAAAAAATATTGCAGAGATTTGACCTGTCTTCTTGGTTTTTGCGAAACAAATCACTAATATCGAAGAGCAATTCGATTATACACTGAAAATTTCATATTTACAATTATATGAAAATTAAACAAATGTAATTACTTCGAACCAAACCTTGAAATAGCAGTCACTATCATGTAGACATGCATCAGTGCGAACATAGTAAAAAATTATTTTTTATTTCAAAAGCTGTTTTTGTCTTAGCTGATTATACATTTGTCTTAACTTTCGAGGGGAATTACCCCGAGAAAACTTATTCATATGGCCACCCACGACAGCTTGTCCGATTATCACCCAAGGTTGACATGAGGATTACTGTGATACGTTCCGATGCAGGGGTGCAAATAGTACACGACCGTAAAAATACCAATTTTGAATTAATTAACGGCTTATCGAGAGTATCATTTACGCCATATGCGACGTGATATTTTCAAATAAAGAAATAATTACAAAATATCTCAAATAGTTAGCCAGGTATTTGCTTCAGATGCATGGACTTGATTTACGACACTTGTACCGGTACGGTATACGATCTGTCAAGCTTAATCGGGGACCAATGAAGCGCAGATAGCAACATCATTACTATACCACTGGTCTGTTATCATTCGGACAAACTGTGCTTCATTAAACAGCTGATATGAACGTGTACGATGGCAAACCAAGAAATATAAAGGAGTACCGGTATCTGCTCTTAGTGCTTGCGTTTTGTTCTTGCAACTTGGTCAGCGTAAATTCCACATACTCAGTAGCACGCTTCGATGTTAATCCATCCATATGCTTAGTTCTTGTGTGGTTAATCCATGAAACGCCCAAATATCTGTACCACTGTCAAATTCTGGATCAGCCTGACTTCAACACCGGTTTTTAAATTGCGCGCTAAAAATAATAACTTTAACGTTGCCAGATTTTTATCCGATTACCATCTTTTACGGAGCATAGGGCGCACCATTGGTAATGAGTATAGGAAATGAAGTGCGCCCTATGGTCCATGAAATACGGTAATTAATAATTAACCCATTCAATATTCCTCGACTTATGCGTTTATGATAAATATCATTTTACTCCAGAGAGACAAGAAACCGAGATGGCTTAATCATACAGCATACCACGGCCTCTCGTCCTGTTACCAGTTTTTGACAGGTATGAGATTAGTTGGGCAGGTATTTGTTTCAAATGCATGGACTTGATGGCGGAGGAAGCCGGCATCAACCAGGATGAGAAGTACAGAAATCCTCTCGCAGATATTTATCTCCCACGGAATTTGAACCCATGCAAGGTAAATGGAGGTGCGATGGCACCGCTCACCATAATGTGCTAGCACCACCAGCTGTTTTGAATCCATCCTAGGCAGAAATATAAATCGTGGTATAAACAAACAATATTTGGACCTCCTGAAGTATGCGCACCAAGATGGCGCACAACCTGAACTCCGGTTGTGTACCAGGTTAGGGTTCAGAATATGCGACATTTTGGTGCGCATACTTCAGGAGTACCCAATTTTTTGTACTCCCGGCGTATGTGAACCAAGATGGCGGACACCGGAACGTAGTACGTGTACCAGCTTAGGCCATAATTTCAGGTACAAATACTACGGGAGTCACTTGGCTAGTCCCCGAACTCGTAATAGAACTAAAATAAGGAAAATTGGAATAAAATTTGGCCTAACCTTGACCTGGTACACATACTACGTTCGGTGTCGTCATATTGGTTCACATACTTAGGGAGTACCAATTTAACACCGGACGTTGGCTGTACTGCTGTTAAATTATTCAAAATGCCTAGAAGTGCACGTTTTCCAATAATTTGAGTATTACTAATATTCATAGGAGTTGAATGATAGTAAGCCTCGGAATCAAACCAAGGTTTGTCCAACCTGCACTGTCACATTTTTTCATGTACATGGCCTAATTAAATTCGATGAGTACACATGGATCGCTTAGCTGAATTTTATCGTTATTTATTGAATTTCAAATTTCTTCTAGTCAAATATGACCATATATTTCGTCAACGATGCTTACATTAACGTAACAACCACGCAGGGTAATCTTCGTTGAGTAATATTCCAAACCCGTTTTCTCGATCAGCCAAACCAGTCACGAGTGCGCCATACTTTGAAGTTGATTGTGACGATTATTTATTGTAGAAATTTATGGCGCTCCAGAAGTGTGTGTACCAATATGGAGGTAAATAATTTTGTCCACCTATTAGGGGGATGGATATTTACTTGGCTAACACAGGAATTCCCCGAACTCGTAACAGAACTAAAATAAGGAAAATATGAATAAAATTATGGACTAACCCTAACCTGGTACCTACGACTAACACACACCTACGGGAGTACCGAGACCCACACGCTACCGGAAATGTGCCAAGCAGTAACGGAATGATCAAGTCAATATTACTGCTAGAATAAGACTTTTTTTCAGTATGGTTATTATCTCCCATATTTTTTCAGTTCTTTACGATAAATTAAAATACCAACCTAAATCATCAATGCATTTTGTTAACACATAAACAAACAATTGCTATTGGAACACTGCAATGAAAAATTAAACATGAATACATTGTTGCAACGAAGCTTGGGATGTTGAGTCTAACTTTGGCATTTTTCACCGTAAGAGTTGAATTTTCAAACAATTCAATTTTAACTCGTCAAAAAAAAGGAATTAGATAAACCAAAAGTTTTAAAAAGTGCAACGATTGCAAACGCCAAGTTTTACAAGTAAAAATTGCTTTTTTTAGCCGCTCCGGGAATATTCGTACCAATATGACGCTCAACCTGAACAACCCTAACCTGGTAGACATACTATGTTCATGTTGTGCGCCATCTTGGTACGAAAACTTCGGAAACACCTTTTTTTTAACTCATTTTATTAACCAGGGAGTCGGAGCCAACATTTGATCAATTTAGAGTCTGTATTTTGGATGTCTTGAAGCAGAGTGAAAATTTTTTTGAATTGAACAGATATGCATTGAACAATCAATAAACGAATAATAAAAGATTCACATTAGGTATATATAATTTAAGTTTTGGCAAATGATTTAGAAATAGGTTTATTATACACAATTGATAGGTTTATAATACTAATTCATTTTCATTATTTTCACACAAAAATTTAAACTGCATAGAATATTGTTACATCACTAAGGAGTAAATTAAAAAACATTATGAGATCATTATTGAGCAAATATCAGATGAAAACAAGTCACCATCCACATTTGCTAGAAATTAGGATAAATCTCCATAAAGTTACAATTCAAAAGTCTTTAACTCTGGACTTGAAATTCTCTTGACATTCCCTTGAACGAAGTAACAGTCACTTCTCCGCCATCATTAGACATATGCTCCCCATTGTATACAATCCTGTATGTTCCTGGGACCTGGAGAAAGATATTATTAGATTTGCCAAAGTGAGAAGCACAATATATACACAAATATAAAACGGGTGAGGTGGCTTCCTCTGCAAATTGTAGGTGTCTTGAAGCATATCAGTCGACGTTTGTACAGAGCGAGAGAGAGAGAGAGTTTATTTTATTCGTCAAACCATAAACAATATATGCACACATATATAAATAATAATAAAAAACAGATGCTTAGGTGTATGACCGGGAGACAACGATACGACCTTTCGGGGTCATTGAGAATAAGAGCTGTATAAAAAAAAAGTGACGTTTTGGTCATGAATCCCATGTTAGTAGCTCCTTATATATCTGTAGTTGCTTGTGTAAAGCTTTGTTAAGAGTGGAGGCATGGAAATGCATATAGCAGAATAATCGTATGAAAAACGAAACCGTTGTACATTTAATATTACATTGTCCGCGGTATGACTTCCCAAGATTCTTTTCAATTAATCATTGCAAAGAACTGAATATATGTCTCGTCAATATTATCAATTTACTAACAAATCCCAGAATTATATCTTTGTTATAGAATACTTCCTCATAACAGGTCGGAGCATTTGAACACCAAACGCGTACTATCGCAGTCCTGGCGCACAAAACTAAGCCAGTTATAATTACCATTAAATAAATCATAATAACTGTACCTGACCTTTAGTTACTGTGGCTTCTTGTATAAAAACTTGTTCACAGTGAAAGAAGTGGTAAAAAAGGGTGCAATGGCCTTGCGGTCAAAGTGTTACCCCTGACTATGTTGGTATCACTGGTTAAAACCTTGAATTGCCTTGTTCAGAAGGAAAAGACATGAAAAAAAGCAGTAAAAGTGTACCTGTCCTTTTGGAATGTCCCATTCTATGGTGACATGGCTTTCGTCGGTCGTAGGGTATTCTAATATCGGACGTTTATCTTCCTTGGTCAAGATGTCTTTCGCTTCAAGTCTGGCTATAAGACTGAATAAGAGAAACAATATAAAACAACAAAAGAATGAATCGTACAAACTCAGTCGATTAGATAGGATTATTACGTTGCATCTGCCAGTTTCCCAACCTATGAGTCGGGACTCCAAACTGCGTCACCAGAAAATTTTCTTGGGTCGCTGGGTTTTTCAACAAAAACCTGAAAGTCACTAATTTTATTTACTAGTGAATTTCTTCGTTTATTTTATATTTGATAATGAAGTGTTGTTCAATAGTAATTGTATAGTCGGAGGTATCACAGCATAAAAACTTGGAAGCATCTATTTGTTTAGATTAAGTGGAGCCACAATTTAAAATCTCGCTGAGGGCAAACAGCTTTCCCACTTTGGTTTACATTAGTCAATCAATTTTGCGGCCATTGAAGTACAACATGGCACTTAGTATTTGACCTTATCCTTGGGTCGCGAGATGTTTTAGAAAATTTGAGTTGCTTGAAAAGGAAGGTTGGGAACCACTGGCCTATGCTACAGAAGTAGTTTCTGACAAACCATCAGTGGTTCGTAATTTCAATACATAGATGGGCGGTTAGGATGGGAAAAAGGGTAAAAATCTTGTGTTCAGAATCTCATGGCCACCACCTCACACAGGGTATATAAATCGTGCAAAGCTGAATCGGGAAAATCCTGGCCCTATAAATGAATCTCCTCATTACTGTTAGATATCATTCACTACTTGGATAGGGCATCACGTTGAAACCGAATGACATAAGTGCTGTTAAAAAAAATTTGCAAGATGTCGTACTTATTCCTCGACTCAGCGTATTCCATATTATCAGCAGTTTCAGATCTTTCATGCTAAATTCATCTGTTTTCATTAATTTTTCCATTCTGTCCAGGTTTATTCTGTATCCAATGACTTTTGCAATAAGATTGAATAGGCCATCTATCATCGTCAGTTTTTTACTGCGGAAATGAAAGTGAACAATTACTTTCCTGGCAGTCCTGGCAATTACTTTCCTGGCTTAGGGTAGAGTAGGATTTTGCGTATCTATTCTGGGGGAGAGGATAAGACAGTTCAATCATATGGAGAACCACGGCTTCTCGTCCAATTACCAGTCCATGTTGGTATGGGATTATTTAGCCAGCTATTTGTTTCAGAAACATAGACTTGATAGTGGAGAAAGCCATAACAGACCAGCGGTTGTGTGAACCACCCCAAGGCAGCGAGTCCAGCAATCCTCTCGCACATACGATAGTTATCCCTCGCAAGATTCGAATCAGAAATGTGATTGGAGCGCAATCCTAGCACTTAGCACATTGTGCCATTCCGCCAAGCGTGAAATATTTAAAAAGGCTTGTGTGAATCAGGGCCAGTAGTCAAGAGCTTGGCTTGTTCTCACAGCTGTCGGAATCATATTTTCAACGTTTCCTCAGTTGGGAATGTACCCTTTCCAATGGTGTTAAAAAAAATCAATTTTTCATACAAAACTCAATGAGCATTGAGTTCATCAAGTGTTTCAAACAGTTCATAAAATGAAGCTTGCATTCGCCAAAGTTTTTGTTATCAAAATTTTATTTTATCGGATTCGAAGGAATTTTGACATAACTACAGATTTGAGCTTAATTTAAAATGATATTAGCAAGTTTTCATCAGTTGTTTTAGGCACTGTGTCGAAGTATGGTAAGCCAACTAACCCTTACTAACGAAAGAATAAATGCATTGCAACCACAGAATTGAACAAAGCACATTCAATTTAATGTAAATATCACAAAATGGTGCCCAGTGAAGTAGGTTTCTGCTAGTGTCTCCAGAAAAATCACTCTAGTTTGAGAAACTTTATTCTAAAGAATGCTTGCATAGAGCCATATTCTGAGTAAATTTGTCGCATGAAAAAATGAAATTATAGTCAGCTCACGTGACATTGTTATTGTCCATCTTCTCCCATTTGAACTTTGTCTCCCAGTCAGCATCTGTGAATGACGCCTCCCAATCTCCGTTGTCTTGGTCAAATCTTTGAACTTCAAGATACGTAGAACCGAGCTACAAAGAAAATAATTAGGTTTACTAAAACGCCTTTTAATCCAAACAATGTTATGTACACAAGAGAGCCACTGCCATGTAAGAAGCAACTATTTTTAGCTTCTAGTTTAACAAATGAAATGTTACAGTTGCTCTGCAGGGTGTGGCCTGCGTTGCATGTTGCACACCCCTGCTCTAAGCTTATAATAAAATATAAACATAAGCGAACAATCACAATGTAAAGTGTTACAGTTGCGAAAAAAGCAAAAATCATTATTTATTTTTGAACATAAAATGTCGGATTAGGGCCAGTTGAGACAGGCAACACTGAATTTCATCGCCAGCCAGGGTGTGGCCTGCATCGCCTGTTGCACACCCCTGATCTAAGCTTATAATAAAACATAAACATAAGTCAACAATCACAGTGTGATAAATAAAACATAAAAATTAATATTAATGACAGCTGAAAAAACTCAGATAATTTACCCTCATATCATGCCGTGGGTTCGCTCCATAAAATTTCACTGAGACCTTTTCTCCCCCTCGGTAAAGTTCATTTGCATTTGTGATAACATCGCCATAATCATTTCCTTCGGGTACGCGATCTGGTCTTGGGGCTGGTAGAAGCTCAATCTGGCTCTCAAGAATGTTCTCAGGCATTGGTCCTGGATCGGCTGGAATAGAAGAAGAAATTATTGACAGAACCGAACCAATAATTGGTATTTACCGTATTTTCTGGAACATACGAAAAACTACAAATCATATTTTTTCTCAAAAATCGACCGTGGCCTTATAAGTCAGTGTGCCTCATGTTTCATGTCCAGTGTTCACTATTAGCGCACTTTTTTGCGAAAATTGCGAAGCACTTTCGCAACTTTTTTTAGGGACTGCGAAATAGCACTTTTTTCCGATTTTGAAGAAAATAGCACTTTTTTCCGATTTTGAATGGAATAAAAATTCAAAGTTAACAAATATTTTCGAGTATTAAGTCGACAAATAAGCAACATACTAGTACTTTTGTAACTCAATTCTGCATATCATAACGATATTTACCGGAATTCTAACCTATGAGATGCAGACATAGGAGATAAAGCTTTTGCATTAACGGCAAAATTCTTGTTTATAATATGATTATTATACAAGCACACGATTCCGCTTCTCCCGCAAAAAACGCTCCCGGGTGATTGAAACCAGATGTTGGAATAATAGGCAGTGCGTTTCTTTGAAGAGAGTGGTCATGTGACTATCAATGATATCGATGAATTCAAAGTGATAATAAAAGTGTTACGTGTTATAGTCACTTTGGATGAATTGTGACCAAACTGCACGATTTTCAAATCAGACGAAACTTTTTTTTCAACAATTCACAAAATACCATTAAGTGCCATTTTATTGTAATCACAATGTTGAAAGGAGTGGCATTTTCCGTAATTTTGCGATATTTACACAACTATTTCTCATTGATATGCGAGGACGGGTGGGCAAAATTCAATATTTTTTTGAAGGAGTACCGAATAAACGTGGTGAAACATTAAAAAATCGGCAACAAAGCCTTTTTACTGGTTAATTCCGTTGTAATCGCTAATTGTTCTTGTCACCGATCGTTTTGGCGGCGATATCCAGGTTTTGGGTAATCTATATTCCCGCCCTCTCTTTTTTACAAATATGAATTCTTGTGGGTCGGCGGACATCGAAGTTTTATATTTCGGGTTTACCCGTTCGTTCACATCGGCAACAGCTGTTGAAGACATTGAGGACTCAAATTAACATTTGCGTTGGCTTTAAGATTACCTATCAAGATTTGTAAATTTACCGTCCCAATTTTATGCGAATGGTAATATTATTATACCGTGATGCAGATATTTATTAAGACGATAATTAACTTTCTCATGTATTTCTATGGTGATAAACTTCGCAAATCTGAAATTGTGCCAATCCTGAATGTTGATTTAAAATAGTGATTGAATAATTCGGCAATAAAGGCATTTCTGCGTGGTCATAAGACGAGATGACGTTAATGAACAGCACTTCTTTTACAGGATATTTTACGTATGCGACTTAATGCTAAAAAGATTGGGCTCGAGTGCTCGAGTGCCTAATAGAGGTCAGGCGCTAATTGTAACTAATTCCCTCAAGTTTCAACGTGTTTTCAACAAAACAATACCCCAGGCGATAATTATAGCTAAAATGTTACCGAGCAATTCACAATTTTATTTATGGAATTTGCAAATTCACCAGTTTCTTGACGATTTTGATAATGTCACCCTAATTATTAGTGCAAAAATACTCCCCTTCTTCCGCGGCGGTTTGACGGGTTCTTAGTTCCATTCTTCAGATAGTTCTGACACGGGGATATAGAATACTAAATTCAGAGGGTTGAATCCCTGTCCACTTACTGGTGATTTTCCGTTTTGAAATGCATTCTCTATTTTAAATTAAATGACGTTTCGCGGGCTAGAGTTCTCCCCGAAAATGATGTGTTCCAGACGTTAGTTAGACGATAGATAAAACATTAGATTTAATAATTTTCGTGACGCCCCGTTTTCGAAAATACAAAGTTATATCGCAAAAAATGCGTTATGATACATTTGGAATGAAACATTATTTACGGTTAATTCAGATCATATTTTACTCTTCATGACACCCGGTATCCGAAAATACAGTTGTATCTCGAAAAATGTGTTTTGTTACATTTAAAATAAAACATTTTTGCGATTAATTTAGATCATATTTTACTTTTCAGACACCCGTTTCCGAAAATACAAGGTTATATCGCGAAAATGTGTTTTGTTACATTTAAAATAAAACATTTTTGCGATTAATTTAGATCATATTTTACTTTTCAGGACACCCGTTTTCGAAAATACAAGGTTATATCGCAAAATGTGTTTTGTTACATTTAAAATAAAACATTTTTGCGATTAATTTAGATCAAATTTTACCTTTCACGGCAACCCGTTTCCGAAAATACAAAGTTATATCACAAAAAATGCGTTTTGTTACATTTATTTTGCATTCCCAATAAAATACATATTTTCCCTAATTAAGGTCGTCGATGAATCTGTTCCTGTCGTTCAAGCTCGACACACGTTTGGACGAGTGTGGGGCGGTTTTTTGGTCGACGATAAATTAAAAAGTTGCCACACGTTATTTGTATAACGATAATAACTGAAAATTAAGATGTTATAATAGAAGTGAATTTGTCTCAAGATGGTATTTTACGATTCCTGCCACAGAAAATAAACACGTTGACAGGCTTGGTTATAATTGATATTCGTTTAATTTATTTTACACTATTAATAAACGCGCCAGACCAATTGCGACCATATAAATTGCAGTCGCATCGGTATGGACTGTATGTTTTTGGCGCTCTCACATTAATAATAATTTTCAACAAAACAATACCCCGACGGTCATTAAAGCTGAATTCGTTACCGAATAATTCACAATTTTATTTACGGAATTTGCAATTTCAAGATCTCACTTGACGATTTTGATGATGTCATGCCCTAATTATTACTGCTTAAATGCCTCAAAATACAACAAATGTAATCATTTTCGACGATAACAGGCGCAACAATTCGTAAACGAGCCGTTATAACGAAATTCGCGATTGATTTTACCTCTCTCTTGTTTACAATTTTAACATCCCGCCGGCCATGTATGGTCGAATAAAATGTTCACATATTCGAAACATGACTTGGCCAAGGATGGAAGGGATCACTAAAGAGCTAATAGAAAGTACATACGCGAGGGTATGATATTAATATCGAGAATATTTGTGAGCATATCACAGGACGGAAATATTTTGCACCCGGCTGTTTGTTGGCAGAACAACGATACGCTAAAGTTAATTGATCGAATACAGGGAAGTATTTATTTATCATCTCACTTGCGAACATCGAGGTTTTGGCGGAATTGTACGATCATGTTGTCTTTCTTAAATAATAACTTTTTCAATAAATGTTCATTTTACTTTTGCGTCTTTATTATATGTCGGGTTTTCATTTATTTTAAATTCGAAATTGTCCGAAATACTCCAACAGGTGTATAAGTACAATAATAATAGTACTTACCAAAGTACTTACCAGGGAAGTTTAATACACACGATGTGTGAAGGGCGTCGTAACTCCCGTTTATTAATTATAAATTTTGTTTACATTCTGCTTAAAAAACAACGGCAGTCATCTCACGTAACTCTCGCGACCAAATCTTTTTTGCAGCATTACAAAGAGTGCTATTTATGAATGCTGAAAGTACATGACATTACTAAACATTTTGCCAATATATGAAGTTTTCTGCCTGATTTAAACTAACTCGCACACAAACCAAGGCATGTCGACATTTAAAAATTACTTGTCTTTGGGTAAGCTCTGAAATAGTATAATATAAATGTAAAAGAGAAATTAGGTCACGCTAGCTCACGAAACGGGAGGGTTTTCAAAGTGATCTTGTGTAATTTTTCGGAGAAAAAGGTTTGAAAGAAAAGTAGGTCAACCTATCTCCTAAAACAGGGGAGTATCCTGCGTAATATTTCGGAGGGAACGTAGGTTAACTTATCTTTTAAAACAGCCGGTGGCGACTTTCAAAGTGGTTCAAAATCATAAATTAATAATTATCAGATTAGGTTTAGGGATAAATCGAAAAGTTGAATTTCCAGCGCACCTAACCCTAATTAGTTGATTGCTATTTATATTTGGAGGGGGGGGGGGGGGGGGGGGGGGGGGGGGGGGGGGGGGGGGGGGGGGGGGGGGGGGGGAGGGGGGGGGGGGGGGGGGGGGGATGGGGGGGGGAGATTATTTTGCACGGAGGATTTGTACAAACGATCCACCCTGTAATTAATATGGTTTGCCTGCCTCGTGTCTGTTAGATGTAAGGAGTAACAAATGTGAAAGTCTTTGCTGTTTACGCGAGTAAGCAACTGACACCGCGAGTAAGCAACTGACAAACTGACACCGTAATACATTGCATGAACGTTTTGTCCCGGAAGGTGTTAGCAGATGTCATTTCGTTGCCGATGAATTCGCTCGTTTTAATTAAACATGAATTCGCTTAGAGGGAACTGGGTTAACGAAAAGGCAGGCTTCTCTTTAATTCATAATATTAACCGGAGGAGCTCTTTTTTGAGTATCTATGCCGTTTTAAATGGGTTATATGAAAGGCTAGGGCACCTAACTTGTTAAAATCGGCAAAAGCACTTTCGCACTTTTTTTTTCGACTGCGAAGCACTTTCGCACTCATAATTTGCTTAGAGTTAACACTGTTCATGTTGCTTCGGTTTTACATTTTCTTTATATAAAATACAATAACCATGAAAAATTTAAGTTTTTTTTCGTTTAATGAGCTTTGTACGATAACCTGATACTCTTTAATAACCATCTTATAGTCCAGTACGCCTCATGTGTGAACAAAAAACCAAACTGTTTGTTGACAGCGTGCCTCATAACTGGGCACAACTTATGGTCCGTAATAACGATACCACTGTTTAACCAAAGTATAATCCTTCAGTATATCTTAGCATTTCAGTGATATTCCATTTTTGTGTGAGCTCTTGTGACCTTACTTTGATGAAATATTGAAAAAAAAGTTGTCATTCAGCAAAATTCTTGCTGTTATATAAAAATTGTTTTCATATGAATATGATGCACATTTTTCTATTTTTTAAATTCACCTTGAAAACATGGTCTATAAGAAATGTGGGAGGAATAGCTTATGAAGCACATATTTCATTGCAATATCTTCAGATAAATTTTTTCAAATGCTGTTTTTAACGACTCCATGCACCAAAGTCTACGTAACCATGGAAATTAGAGTACGAGACCATACAGTCTCTGGTCCATTTGTCTGTATGAAAAAGCCACCCACCTGCTGTTCCTTTAACTAAATTCTCCACCAAATTTGTAAATCTCGCCACATAAGCAGCATGAGTGTGCGGCCCGTAAATTGTTGATCCTCCTTCGTATCTCTGAGCTCCGAACTCTTCAAGTGTAGTGATATAGTGAGTGTAAACATTAGAAAGACCGGCTATGACAACCTGAAGAAATAATTATTATAATGCTGGTTATATTCATGTAGTGATTGGGTGCCATGGTCTAGTCTAGAGCAGGGCTACTCAACTATTTTTTACCGAAGATCCGCATACAAAACTTTAAAATTATTTGGGTCCGGTCTTTCCAGAAATTATAATTTGGCATTGTTAAACACGCACTTTCTCGGCCGGCTAATGATTATTAGCTAATCAAGATTGTTTATTATGGCGTTATAGTTCTTTTCATATATATTCAAAACTATAAAAGTCATTTTATAAAAGGAAACTTCAAAAGTGAGGCTATTGAACCAAAATAAAGAAGCGATTCGAATCAAATACTCGGAGAGTGCGAGTTCGGACCGTGGTCTGCCAGTTGAGTAGCCCTGGTCTAAAGCAGTATCCCCAGAGGTTAATGTACTTTTGAAGGGATGCATGATAATGATTATTAGCTAATCAAGATTGTTTATTATGGCGTTATAGTTCTTTTCATATATATTCAAAACTATAAAAGTCATTTTATAAAAGGAAACTTCAAAAGTGAGGCTATTGAACCAAAATAAAGAAGCATTCGAATCAAAGACTCGGAGAGTGCGAGTTCGGACCGTGGTCTGCTATTATTACTATCGATCAAGCATCCTTGTGGTGAGTACCACATACGGATCCGAAGTAGAAAGTAAACAAGGAGAAAGGACCTGCAGTTCAATACACAAAATCCAAGTTTCTATTATTACCTTGGAGTTATTTAGCCATCCCATCTTAATTGCTTCTGCTTTAACAGCGTCCTTTAGTCTCCTACCAGCCATTGTCGTGAATTCTCCTGGCACAGCGGAAATGATCAACGGACCAACTCTAATCAATTGCACATCGACGATAGAAGGATGCCATGCATATGGGATGTCATGACTGTGAAACATGAAATTGTCCATTTTGAAATGTAATTAGTGAAAGCCTTTTTATCATACTGTAACTGTAAGATTAGGTCATATTCAATGAAGAACATATAGAAGTCAATAAATATTGAAAATTTGAAATATCAGTAGTTAGGATAAACAGTGATTCTGACAGTCCATGAAGTCTTTAAATTTTTCAAAATTGCAAAATGAATTTATAGATACCATATATATTGTTTTGGCCCTCGCAGATATATTAAATGAAGTGAAAATGCTTGAACAATTACTGATCAAAAACAACAAACCTGGTTAAGATATATTGAGAACTGACCTCATAACAAAATTGAAATTGTAAAAGGATTTCATGGACACCCTGTATGTTTTTATTATTTTCTAATGCCGTTTTTTGAAAGTTTTCCCTTTTTAGGTTGAAGCCCTCATGATTTTAATCGGTTCAAAGATTCGATTCAGTTTAGACATCCTTGTTCTTGTATTAAACTTACATCCAGTTGGCAGAAGAACTGGCTTTGGTTTGTGACAATCGAAGTCTGCTTGGGTCGGCTCAGTCTTGCAAACAATTTTTCCAATAAGCTTGGTAGCCAGTTCCCACAATGGCGTCCCCTCCAGCTGACTTTGATGGAAAAAGGGCTCCTGGGCCGTCGGTTGTTCCCGCAGCAAAACTAAAGTAAAAAGATAGCCAGTTTGCCCAACACCGAACATTTGAAAAAAGTTAGCCATGGGCCTACTGGTCGAGACTTGACTATTTTGGATAACAAGTGGCTCAGCATTGAGAATACACTTGCCCTTCGTGCATCTGATTATCTGCAAGTTTGAATATCCTGGGGACAATTTTCTGCGAGAGGATCACTGGACTCATCAATGTCATAGGGTGGTTCATAGGCGCTCCAGAAGTGTGTGTACTAATATGGAGGTAACTAATTTTGTTCGCATACTTTACATAAGCTCTGTAAAGAAACTGAAACATGTGGGCAGGGGTATCTTCACTTGGCTACACAGACAGTCTCTGAGCTCGTAATAGAACTAAAATAAGGAAAATCGGGATAAAATTATCGCCTAACCCTGACATATACTACAGGAGTATCAATCATTTCATATAAGCATGCATCTGAAAAAAAATCTGGCTTACTAATCTCGTACCCCAGATGGACTGGTAACCGAACGAGAGGCTGTGGTATGCCATAAGACTGAGCTGTTATCCCAGCTTTCTTTTCTTCGACGATCAATATGAAAATCATATCCTTTACCTCAGCCGTAACCATACCAACCTATATCCCATTAATGTACAAACCTGTATCCCATAGCAGATTTACATGTTGTGGCCTTTGATCCATCAGCTAATGTGACTTCCTCCTTCGTCATATCAACGAACTGATGAGCAAAGTTGAGTGGGCCTTGCAGACGTAGTGCAGGGGCGCTGTAAGATAGAAGAGGAAGATTTAATTCTGAAGAAAACTATATAATTACACATTGCAGTGACGGTAGTTCTTGGAAGTGCTATGCTTTGGCTTGGTGCTTAGTGCTAAGCTTTGGGAATGTGCTTGTCATATCACCTCTGAATACCTTGCATGAATTTACAGGTTTGAATCTTGTGAGGGATAATTATACGGGAAAGGACTGATGAATCCCTCGCCATTTGGTTCTGGTAACCGGTTATTCGGTTATGGCGGTTAGGTCCATGACTATTTGGCCAACAACAACAAGCCTAATAACAACAATTATCATTATGTGGAGAGTATTGTTTGACTTCTCTCTGCCATAAGGTGTTTGAAGTAGCCGCTGGTCGGTCATGGTTTCTTACACCATCAAGTGCATGCATCTGAAACAAACAACTGACTATTTAATAATCACAACATGAACTGATAACCAGATGACAGGCCGCTGGTACGCTATATGATTGAAACCACCATTTTTTGTCCAATAATGTTACTTTGATAGAATTCTTTTTGCAGCCTGGTATTGCCTCGTCCCAATGATATCAGTTGACTCAAACATATCGTCCCCAGGACCGAATGCAATGCAGTTTGACACCGAGGGAGGGTTGCCACATGTTGATTGCTCATAATCACATGCCTCACCTGCATAGAAAAGAGATTTATTTATTATGAACTCCACCAAGGTGAAAAAATACCAACAGACAAAACGGAAATTCAGGGAAAAAAACGGAAAAAAATAATTCAGTGGGAGTAAATATTTTCATTTTTCTGCTTGGGGTCAGCAGATAAAACAGCTTAAATATCTGGCAAACCATGGTCTCTTGTAAGTCAGTTATGGGAATAGTTTAGTTAAACATCGCTAAGACAGCTTGAGGTTCAGAAAGTTTTTTCCCATAATTATCCCTCCCTGAATTCGAACCTGTAACCAATGCAGGGTGATCAGCGAACTGTGTAGTGACAGACGTATGTGGCATGAAAATGTATAGAAAACAAACAAATATATGGAAGGCCAAAACCCATAATTACCTTGCCAACAACAGTTTTGCAGATAATATGCTTTAATAATGACTGAGCAGATAAATAACTGTTGCCAGTAAACAGACATAACAGAGTTAAGAACTCCAAAATATTCAATGCAAATTACCAGTATCAATGCATATTGGTCCTTCAGTATTCGGTGAAACATCTCCTAGGTTGGCTTGGGCGAATGCTGCTACGTAGTCCGGCTGAAAATATAAATTTCATAGCTTTATTAAAAATTCAAAAACCTAAGAAAATAGAAAAATCTATGCTTGGAATAATATAATATTGAGAGCCCAGACAAAATTCAACAATAACATCATCACCGGGCTTGTATAATGTCATATTTTAGACTTGCTTCAAATTTTTTAGAAGGGATTCTGCAAACGCCATTGCCATATCGAAATGAATGAGAATTAAGCTGACAAAAAGAAAGTGACATCGAAAGCCCACAGGGAATAAATAGTATAGGACTTTTCATATTTGTATGGGCAAAAGTAAACCAATAACACAGCTTCTCATATAGTTACCAGTTTATGTCGGACATGGGATTAGTTAACCAGTTATTCGTTTCAGATGCATTTCCTCAGTATAGGCTTTTGAACATTACTAACTTATAGAAACTGCATTTAACAAATTTAGTATTGAAGGGTCAAGGAATATGGAGTAGAAACTCACCATTCCTTCATGCTTCATTTCATTTTCATAAAGCGTTGAAGCGCGACCTTTATTATCTGAGCTAATTAACTCGTTAGTGTTATTCATGCAGGTTCCATGCACTGGGTACCAAGTTATTAACCCTCTATCGGCTCCTGAAGTGGAAGTTATCTTCAATAGAACCATCTCTTGTTCTGTGTTGTGGGTATACCTGGAGGGACAAGAAGTCGAAAACACTATAGTTAAAAAAATAAGAATATTACTGGGAAGGGAAGACACAGGAAACCAAAGCTGGTCATTGAACAGCAACATCCAAGGTATAGGAATAAGATTTTCATAATTATCCCGGAAAAGAGAAAAGCCGATATGGCGGCTTAAATATATGACGAACCACAGCCTTTGTCTGGTTACCACTCCATGTCGGGTATTGGATTAGATAGCCAGTTATTTGTTTTTGGTAGCATGAAATTGATGGTGAACTGGCCAGCAGTTACGTGAACCACCCTATGGCGATGAGGAGTCCAGCAATCTTCTCGATCATAACTAACCCTGCACAGGATTCAAACCTGCGAACCCACGCAGAGTAATTAAAGGTGCGGTGGCGAGCATATTCTAAACAGTTAACACAATGTGCCAAACCGCCGAGCCGATATAAACTTGAAAGTTACGAGATCCACGTTAATTGTTGGTATCATTTTGACGTGTAAGTAATAAATTCAAAACACATGGAAACTAACTTACTTGGACCTCTCATTCTCGGGGTTATGTGTGTAGGCACTCGGACTTCTATTGATGTTTGCTTCATCCACGTCTCCAGAATACATGTAGACAATGGATTCTTGCATGTTTGAATGGGCTGAAAAGAATTCAAAATACAAATTTATAATATATTAGAGGGTAAGATAACATAGTACAGTGCCTCTGAGACTTTCACAATCCATGGCCGTATTCAAAGGGCTCTCAACATGTGTGGCCACCTGTGTTTAAATACAAAAAATCAGATTTCATTTTTGATGGGTTTCTATCAGTTATTTCATGCACCATGTGTAGTGATAATGACCGACAAGTAGTAGTGATAAGTAGCCGACAAGTGGAAGTAAAAGAATAAACGCATCACAGTCAGGTATTTACTTCATATTAACTTAGTCATGGTAAATGGGCTTCACTTGTGGCCCCTAGTGAGGTTCCATGGATGATCATCTGGTTTTCAGTCAAGTATGGGAAAAGGTAATAACAATGCTAAAATAGAGGTTTCTCCATCTCACCAATGTCAATACTCTTGACAATCCCATCTACAAAGGAGTCTGTGCTCTGCTTGATGAATCCAAGTGAAGTAACTTCGAACAAGAGGAACTGAAAGAATCCTGCAGGTCCAGAGTGAGAATGGGTGCCAGATAAGACAACGTTCTTTTCATCATACCTGACAAAAAAAAAAAATTTTTTTATATAAACGATTTTAAACACTCACTCACTCAAATAAGTACTGCCGGGAAGATAGCAACTATTTCGAAAGAGCAGTACCTTCCCTGCTTCAGCATTACTTACACAATTGAGCATGCACAAAGCGCAAAAACACTGCAGTACCTCGCCTCAGTTTGCTAATTCAAATCACATGGAGAATATTTATGTGCGAGAGGATTGCTGAATTCCCTGCAATCGTAGAGTGCTTCACACAGTTATGATTTCCTCTACCATCAAATCCTGGCATAAATGAACTAACTGAATGAAATAACTGAACTAATAACTATTCCAAAACCTGACTTTAACTGGCAACGAGACGCAAGACAGGGTTTTGCCATATAATTAGGCTGTTTTATCGACCTTGGCCCCAAGATAATAATGGAAATCCGACGCTAATGATTCAAGACAGACCCTATAAACACTATTTTAAATGAACAATAATAAACTGATAAACACTTACATATCACCATATTTTTCTTTCAACTTTTTGACGACTTCGAGTTTGACAAGTTGGGTCATCATTCCAGAGTCGATACTGACAAACACTGAACGTTTGCTTTGAGCAAGATCTGAGAAGATGAAAGCCCGACTGTACAATCTCATGTGGAGTCCGTGAGCAATTTGAGAAGGAACTGCATATCCCATCTGAAAGAAAAAGCAGGCATGCTTTGAGATGTCAAAATTGGAATCATTGTTTATAAATTTGGTCAAACAGTAGTTGAAAACCTTCAAAATAAAAGCGGAAAACGAACTGCTAATATGAAGGCTATTTTGCTATAATATTCAGCATAGCGAATCATAAAATAAACGTTACGAATAAACAAATAAAAACTAGTTATAGTACCAGAAGAGTAAACTTAACCTGTTTAACTCTAAGATCTATAACGTACAAGATTTAAATGAAAAATTGTTGATAAAAGGCATGTAATTTACACTACAGGTAATTGGAAAATATATACGGTAAGTAATGCACACTCGCACATGTAAAAGCCAGAGGATTACAATAAAAACAAACAGAATTTTGTATAAAATTACCCAATGAAAAAAATTTACAATAAAAACAAACAGAATTTTGTATAATTACCCAATAAAAAAAATTTATTTGTCATACTAATCAAAAATATTAATTAACTAATTGTCTTTTCAACTCTGATGAAACAAGGGAATGCATGACTCGAACAATTCAAGTCATAAATGTGAGGGAAACAGCTAAGAGAAAAAATATCTCAAAGAAACTTGGGAAGGGGAAGTTGAGATTGGATTTTCATATTTATCCCAGGTAAAGAAAAGTATGGTCAATAATGCCAAATCAAGAAAAGGAAAACAAATATGGAAAAATTATCATGGCGTAGATTATAGTTTAAGCCATGATAATTTTTTCATATTTTTTTTCCTTTTCTTGCTCTATATATATCCACTTGTGTTTTTTCCTTATCACATCCTGATATAGTTTTTCTGTATAGAAATTCGAAACGTCGGCAAACTACATCGTTTGGCTAACACCGATTGTGCTTTATTTATTATAAACCAGTCAGTGTCAAGCGAGAAAACAAGAAACGATGTATGTATGTTTATTTGTCTCATGATGCTAAGATATATTTCGTATATACATAAAGTGAAGGTTTATGTAAGAAGAGTGTGTATGAATTCATTTAATGTTAATACTACCATGGGAGTTAGCACATACCACTTCTTTTTGGCAAAAACTTTTCAACTTATATTCTCAGTTTTAATTTATTTGTTTGTCTCATTTATGTTATGTTGCTGTGCCGATTATGGAGTCTGAATAAACTAATGAATATTACAGTTATAGCGTCTGTGGATATTATGCCGCAATAATTAATTACATGATGAATTTTCTCAATCCCGAATCGAGATGACAATTGTCCTAGCGACCGCCAATAAAAGCCTCCAGTGAGGATCGAACTCACGACCCCTGGTTTACAAGACCAGTGCTCTAACCACTGAGCTATGGAGGCAGACGGAGGAAAGTCTCGACGATGCGCTTATAAATGAAAACGAGAGAGAAACACCGAAACGAAAAAAGGTTCGCTCTGTCGAGTCGCAATAGTAATCGAAAGCAGTCACGCGTGAAATGTAAAACGCGGACGCGAACGAAATTGGAGCAATAGAGCGGACGCTATCGAAATGAACACGGCAAGCGCGAAATATAAAATACCATATTACAGAGCACTTTGTGGACATAGTTTGCGGCGCAAAATTAATCATAATCAAATCGCGGCACGGCCCGCACCTAATTTATATAATCAACAAAAACACCTCCGAATACGATTTAAAAAAAACAAATGAAGGAGAAGAATTGCTTATTATTCTATGGTGTTGGCAAATGAGCATTAAATCTAAGTCTATTTTTTGACGTTTATGCACTTGGACACCGTTTCAAACCTTTCCTCATTTAATATTGGATATGCGACAAATTGAAATATTTATTGGATTTCATGATATTCATGAGTTTTAGTATGCTTGTATGTGTGTATCATGCATGCTCGTTTGTCCATTATCAAGATTTGATCACACTATTTAACCTTGTGGGTGCTATTATATATTTTGAAACAAACATACCTTGGGTAACATATGCGTTCCTATGGCAACATGACTATGGGCCTAAATAATATTTTCAATATTTTTTCAGAAATTATTGGCAATATGTGCCTAGTCCACTGTGGCAATAGTAACAAATTCTAATTTACCCCGCCCTCATACAACACAAACTAGCTAGCTTTATTATGTAATGCATTGATTGGCACACTTTATGTACTATTCGGCCATATATACACATTTTCGGAAGCATATGGGACACACTAATTGCCGCTTATAAACAATCGCTACATAAAACTCAAATTATGATGTAACAGCGACTTCTATTTCTGTATTACTTACAACTAAGGGTAGCTACAGCCATTGTTATGAGTGATATGACATATACCCGAGAACAGATAATAATAAATTTATGAGCAACTTTTGTTCCATGCATTAAAATTGAAGTCTTCTAGGGCCACATTTGGCCCGCGGGCCGACCAAAGTTTGCTAACCACGCCTGATCTAATGGCTAAGGATGTCCACACCATATTCAAACAGCTGGATATTTGGAGTTGAAGATATTTTGGATATTGTAACTGCAATTATTTCACATAAAATCCATGATGGGTCTGAATTTTACTATTAAGAATTTAATGAATGTCAGTACACTAGGGTTAATATTGATAATGCATAATAAAATAAAATTCTAAACTATACTTTTTCCACACATTTCACTTTCTACATGGCAATATCAATATCCACATACCATATTGACTTGGGCAACAGGTCCAGTCACATCATACTTCCCAATTCCAACATAATAATCTCCGGGCTGAGGTTCAGGCAATGATGTTGGTTCTCCGCTATCAATGACATCAACTAGACAAAATGTTTGCTTTATCAAGCGAATAGACAGTAAAGTTTTATCTATGTATGATTTTATCTGTTTATATAATATTCAAAATCTAGGTTGAACTATTAGATGGACTGAAGTCTCTCTTTTAACAGTCTTAGTAGTGGCCAGTAATCCAAAATTATAAAAGGTTTGACTGGTCTCGGACATGGCTAACCCTCCAGAGAGACCAGAGAGAGAGTCAAAGTTAGCCATCAGAGTTTAATTTTGAGTAAGTCTTTGAAAAAAATGATGGAGTATGATTCATTCATTAATGTTGTATCAAAAAATAAATGCGAATACACAAGTAAATTTAAAATTGAATGTTTGAACATTACCCTAAGGACCTCTCATTTCTACACTATCTTTACAATGAGAACACTCACCATTTTGACTGTTTGATTGCCCGACATAATATCCAACCAATCCACAAGCCATACCAAAACCAATGGCAAAGAACATTGTCAGAGCGTATTTGCAGAGGAAAGATTCTCGACGAGGAGAGCCGTGGTACTCAACATCTTGAAATCTCTCCTAAAACAATAATAACAAATATAAGTTGGGTATTCAGCAGTGCTGGGAGCCGTTGACTAGAATCACCAGCTATTGTAATAGGTGACTAGTGTTATCTATATAGTATGTTATGACTAGGACTCGTCATCTGCTAATTGCCAGAATAACTTAATTCTAAAGGCTGTTATGTGTATCACAATTGAAAATTACTTCACATATAAATATTATTGCTTTATCAACTCCACAGACAAAATATAAACAATACCATCAAATATCTTAAATAAATAAACCAATTTCATAGACCGTGTTGATAGAACGCATTTGACAACCACATGACGGACTTACAGCTCTCATTTAATCTATATATATACTATATGTGAAAAGTACATCTTGTTCTTCATCTTGTATCTTGTACTAGTAATGTACATGTATCCCATCTCTACTATGTTTATTTATTATGCTGTTACATTATGAGAAAATAAACAAATAACATACTGATAATGGAATATATAATCCATCATCTGTGTTATTAACATTTCACATATTTTCTAATACACTAATAGAAGTAAAAAACAAAATATCGTAATATCAACAATTTGAATGTTTATTATTAGTGTTCCACATGAAGTAAATCTATACTTGGATCTTACATCATCATGTCTTTCACAATTACCAACCCCGAACCCACTATTCCGAGACAATACAGGGGGCTTCTACCCAAAGGTTTCCCACTTAAACTTAGGTATTTTATCCCAAATGACATGATACATATAGCAAAAGAAATATTACTTGTTTGTTTGAAAATATTTTTTCATAAAAGTAAGTAACTGCATACAGACAACTTGTATTTTTATTACCGGTACTTTAAATATCTGAATTGAACAACCTTACAATAACATCACCACCTTTGACCGGATATAAGAAGCTCTCGGCGACGAGCTACTGCTATTAGTCATGTTAGCCGACATGATAACCGGTTCAATGATTCTTTTGTCACCCTAGACATATCATTTACCGTGGAAAGCCCCGATCAACAGCCCCGGAACAAAAATGTATTCAACCCGATAAAAGCCCCGAAAAAAACTTCGAAAATCGCAAAACGTTCATTCACCTTTAAGTTATTCATTCTAAATCGCTAGTCTTTGTTACATATTTGCTGAGGGATTTATATAAAGGCCTTTGCCCCGATAGAAAAATAATTTATTTGTTTAAAGCATTGCTGCTAAGACAGAATTTCCCAACCAGAAGAAATTTCTTCACGTGAAGGAATGGTAGTATTCTGGGGAAAGAAATTTTACTCTGTATTTCTGCAAATATCACTAATATTTTTGACTAATTTATTTAGTATTATCGTGATAAGAAAATAACAAATATTTATGGGCACATATACAAAACTGTATAAAGGCCAGAGTATGAATTGAGTGTAACATTAGTTAAGAAGCCTTTTACAATGATTGAACAAATGAAAACACAGATTTTATCCATAGTGGGGGGAGGAGTAAATAGATCTAAAATAATTAGAGGAAAGAATGTATCAAAAAAGGAGGTCACAAACAACAAAGTGTTAAATAAGCACAAATTGCTTTAAGGGGGCTAGAGATGCCAAGAGGGAGCATGTCTGTGATAATCAAAGAGTTTTTTTAAGGTAATTTGGTCACTCAGAAGGGGAGGAGAATCATAAGTTACAAACAACCGCTGAAAAGCAAAATATTACAACAGTGGTTGCTTATATATAAGGTCTTGTTTGGGGTAAAAGATTCGAAAATTGCTGCAAATAAAAATGGGGACAATATAAACTAATATCATTTTATTTAATTATTAGAATTCTCTGTTCTAAGCGAACTTACAATGTTAGGTTATGATTACGACAAGATGACGAATCAATGTCAATCACAAGATATATGAATCACTCATATGAAAATTTATTGTAGTGAAAGACTTGACACAGCAATATATTATTGGCCAATTTATACAATAAGTATTTGGATCAAGAAATAATGATGATAGTTAATTATGTTGGGTTGGCTTATGTAATGACTGAATAAACTGAGGAACTTAAACACAGCAGTGTGCTATAAGCCAGGGCTCCTTAACTGGCAGACCTTCCGAGTTCCGAGTATTACTGAATTCTTTGTTCTGGATCACAACCCAACTTTGGACATGTGAAGGTTTCTTTTAACAAATGACTTTCAAATTCTTGAAGGTTATTTTATTATTTGCTCATATTTGGACCTGGACATACATATAAACAAAATAACTGTAATGCAGAGGAAGTGCGCGCTTGAAGATGTCAAAATATAATTGCTGGAGAGACCAGACCAGAGTGATTTTGAAGTTTTGTTTACAGATCTTTGGTAAAAATAGTTGAGAAGCCCTGCTATAGGCAATTGGTTCAGATTACAAGTAGTCTACATGTCAGAAAGTAATAGCTCCTGAGTAAAATTCAAAAGTATCACCGCTAAATGAGATATGTTTTTTTTAGGAGTCTTCTTTTATCAGGGTGCGGCGGTGTGGCTCAACGGGCTAAGCGTTAGGAATACGCTCGCCATCGCACCTCTAATTACTCTGCATGGGTTCGCAGGTTCGAATCCCATGCAGGGATGGTTATGTGCGAGAGGATTGCTGGACTCCTCGCCGTCGTTGGGTGGTTCACGTAACCGCTGGTCGGTTACGGCTTCCTCCACCACCAAGTCCATGCTTCCGAAAACAAACAATATACTGTAACTAATCCCATACCCGACTTGGAACGGTAACCGGACGAGAGGCCGTGGTTCGCCATATGGATAAGCCGTCCCATTGACTTTCCTCTCCCCGGGATAAATATGTAAATCCTATCCTATCAGTTGTTGCACAAACCACCCTGCAATGGACCTGAAATGGGATGAATTCATGGCATTCAGTCTAGTTCCCAAGTCTGCATGGAAGGAAGTCAAAAGTAATTTTTTTTTTATTCGATTCTGCCAAATTGGCATCTGATATTTTGACCTTTTCAGGCTTAATACAAACAGCTACATACAAACAGACATACAAATACCTATCAACATACTTACCGATCAAGATCGATAAGTAAAAACGCATTTATATATGGTTTATCATATGTCAAGCGTGTCCAAAAACAACATTAAATTTCCATAGAAATGTGTAGGTAAATATTGATGGACACAAGACTGAAAGCAGCTCATGCCTATTTACTCAGAAACAGAGCTCTAGAAGTATGTGCACCAAGATGGCACACAACCTGAACATAGTATGTGTACCAGGTTAGGGTTCAGGTTGTGCGCATCTTGGTGCACATACATTGGGAGCGCCCAAAAAACATCTATGAAGTGGGGAATTCCACATAAATGAAGTCAAAGAATATGTCGATACACGTTCATAAACATAATCACATTATCACCCAAATGACGTATGTATATCGAACTATAACGCCCGTCAATGCCAAATATTTCACATGCAATTCTCCATAAAATATTATAGATAAATAAGTCAAAACAAATTTACAAAACGAAAGTGAAATTCTACACGAAATAAAAATTCAAATTTATCTTTTTACATTGTTAACTTGCGCAGTAGACGGTGAAATTGTTATAAATACAGTACATGCGAAGATAAAATATGGATAAATAGATTGTTCAGTCCCGAATCATGTCAGGCCATACCAAGTTCAAAATTCCTATTTATATTCTCTATGTATATTGAGAAGGTAACTTGCCATATAGTTTAGAATGGCTTGAGTGGCACAGGTTGTTTTAGTGCGGGGTTGGGCAATTACTTTTCTGTGTGGGCCAGCTACAGATAATGAACTTGGTTACGGGGTCGAAGGCTAAAAACTCGATATGAAAAACTATGAAAAACAGTTAATTTACAACAATTAGCCTAACGTTTATATAATAATAAGAAGCACAATGTAACAATTGAGGTCATTATGAGGTATTTTCATCCATATTTTCAATGGAAATTTATATTCATAAAAACTATAGTCGTAATTGCAGCAAACACAAAAAGGCCGGCTGAAACACTTCGGTGGGCTAGATACATCTGGCGTGGCATAAATTGACCCCTCCTGTTTTTGTGGGAGTAGTGCAGCGTTCCCCAACCAAGGTAGAATTTCTGGGGATGAAGTATTACTATGCATTTGGTGTTGTTTTACTAATATTAGTTACCGGTAGTTACTATTCAAAGTTGCAAAAGCAAGAGTGCGAGTTGATTTCAACTAAAGGTCAGAACCCCCCAGACTTCGAAATGTAAAAGAATATCGGACTATAATATTAACACACACTCACTCTTCCTTACAGATAAAAAAATAAGAAGTAATTTTATGCTACACACTGTCTTTTAATATCTGCATTCCCTAACTGGATAAAACTTATCAAAAAAAATATTTCTCATAAAAAAAAAGGAAGCAACCAGTGTTTGGTAACAAGAAATCGCTATGGGATGTGTTTTCAGTTGTCTAAGAACAAAGAGAGAGGATTGTATCGACGGGGCGTATGATGGACCGGTAGAAGTCGTAGTGAAAGTGACGCAAACCCACGAGATTGTTTATCCTTCGACTAATAGTGGAAGAATTCGTGTCAAAACTCTGCACACTCCGAAAACATGGACAAAATTGAAATGTGAGACGGGAGGATTTATACTCCGACATCATCATTGTGGAAAAGACTATTATATGACTAAAACATCGAAAGGTAAGATTATTTTCTTGTGGATGGGGGGGAGGAGCCGTCAGAATTGCTCTGAATAAGGCTCTGTATCAGTCATAGCAGTTTTTCATAGCTTGAAACACTTTTTAAAACTTTTGTTGAGGCAGCCATAATTAAACATTCCCTAGTCTTCATTGCTGAACTATTTGAAACAAGACAATGTATACAAATTTGCTTGCTCGATTTCAGCAGATTGTCTGCACGTTTTGAAAGATAGTTAGTATATTTTTGGCAGGCCCACTGTGATGTCGTAATGATGTAAACATTGGACGTTATAGTTAGAGCCACGTCCACTAGAAGTACTTGTGGTACTACACTAGACCCACTTAATTACTATCTAATTACTCATTAACTTTACAGACAAAGTAAAACTTCTGGAAGGAGTCCGGAACAGTGAGAGTACGGCGTTTGAATTGTATGACGACCCGGAAAGTAAAAGGTTAATGAGACACGTACACAGCGGAAAATTTATCGCACTAACGGAAAATCGACGTTTAATTCTCATTGAGGAAGAGCGATTGGCTGAGGGAATTCAAGTCTATGTGACGGATGAAGCATGACTACAGAAGCACAAAGTAGTAAAAACCATATAAAATTTCACTTGTGATTCAGTTAGATTTCAAATCTCTAAATGAGCTTAAACTGCATGAAACATCAAAATGTTTCGTTTTCGCGTTTCGGAATCAAACTTTGTCACAAAATGGTAAATTCTATTAAAAACAGTAATCTGAAATACCAGGAATCTCATGAAATAATTTTTTTTTCCAAATGACGTTTTGGTTGAAATAACCAAAAATGCTATCTTATATAAAAGCCAGTAAACGCAGCGCCATCATTCTATATAGTTTCGGTAGCTCTTGCCACTCATCGGTGGTCATCTCCTTTACCTCTGAGTGGATGACCTTGCTTAGAGCAAATCTCTTAAGAAAAGCAAAAATATTTCAAAATAATTTCAGTGGTTGGCGGTTGCCTATTTCAGTGGTCTAGATAACTTTTAGTGAATGTGCACGATCTTGCTTTGAGCAAATTTTTATATTATTGAAGAAAATGCTATATTATTGTACTTGATTATTTTATGAAAAGGAACTTATGAATCAAAAAACTATGATGGTTAAAAATGTAAATTGTGAGAATCCTTTACATTGATATCAGGTTAAAAAAATGCTGCTGTTATTCAAAATTGCGCCCATTCGTAAAAATTCGATGTTCCATCAAATAAAACTATTCAAAATCACTCCAAATACACACTTTTATTCTGGGAATTCTTGTGGAGTAATTTTTTGTAGGCATTTGTTTAGCTTAACTAGTGGTGGGTCTGTATAGTTAGACTATTATTATCTTACAAATAATGCTGCCTTGTATAATTCTTCATGTTATTTGTATTTTTATTTAAATCTAGTGCTTTAGAGCAGGGGTTCTCAAACTTTTGGTGTTGCGGAGCCCTTGAAAAGTTGAATATTATTCGCGGAGCCCCAAAATAAATGTTAAAATTGTTACTTTCAGATTAATATTCCTGGGCAAGTTAAAAGTACTTTATTTATTTAAAATGCTGAACCTTTTTTAATAGGATTTAACACAAGCCATAAATGAATCTGAATTTCATACTAAAGCTGTAAATTTGACACTTGACGAACATATTAATAAATTAGGGGTCGAATCTTTTCTCTTTTGACATTTTTGGAAGACTTAACAGGCCGCTAATAACGTGCGCGATTTTATTTTGTTACAATCGCCGATTTTTTTCGTCAGCATGGCGTGTTTTGAACATCTTTACGCCGGTGTTTATCCTCTCTAAATCAAAAATTTCCCTCGGCATATACATGTATTGTTACACAATGACGACGTTAATTCCTTTTTTTGTTTTCGTGGGAAATTATGAGTTCAATGTGAAAAACATGTTACCATATAATAGTCATCTGCGACGAAATGTTAAAAATTATAATTAATAAAGAGATAAATCCGCAACTCAAATTTCTTGATTGAAAAACGGCATTCTAAAATATTAAAACTGAAACTTAAAATGGAAGATCACACGTTTGGCTTCAGCAGACTCACCTCAGATTGAAAACGCTTTTATAGACATTGTAAATCACAAAATTTGGTGTTATGTTAGGTTTTCGTCGTAGTAACTGCAAAATCGAAACACAGTCAATTGTTCGCGCGATGTACCTTTTTTTCCCATTCTGAAACTACCGACGAAGCCGCACGCAATCAATTGTGCACGCGATCCACTATGTACCTTTTTTCATTCTGAAACTACCGACGGAGCCGAATGCAATAAAATAAATTCTAATTGTTCGTATTTTGCCCAGACATTGTGATCGGCGATCACAACGGCGATATCCTGCTTAAAAATAATCTCAGGTGCGAAAGAACAAATCAAGTTTGACAAATCCCAAGATCGCGAAAATACGACTCCACTTTATTTATTGTTGGCAGTTTATTACATATTTTATGTTATTTTAGAATAGTATTCTTTCATTTAAGTAATACTAATACTAATCTCGAATCAAACTTGAGTAACGATGATCACAATTACATTATAACGAAGAGACACGTTGAATGCTCGCATCGGTCATGGATTGAATATTTTACGCAACAGAAATCTCGTTATCCATTTTTTTAATGGCGAAGAATGTTGCGAAATTTCCGATTCCAATTTTGAACCACCTCCCTCTTAAGAATCTTGGCTGCGCTCCTGCTTATAAATAATGTCATTTTTAATTCAGCCTCTTTACCATATTTCGAGGCTGTATTGTTGTCAGATTTTATCAACGCTGTTATTGCTTCTTTCAACAGTTACAAAATTTTGAGTCAGTATTTCGAAGAGTAATCGAATAGCTCGCGGAGCCCCTGGGTTTCTCTCGCGGAGCCCTGGGGCTCCGTACGGAGCACTTTGAGAACCTATGCTTTAGAGTAAGTGTGAAAACGGCTCACAAAAACCTTGCTATCAGTAAGTCACTGAGCAGGTGCCCAAGTCTTGATTTTGAGCTTGTCGCCCACATGATTCAAAATCATAAACTTCCAATCGGGGTACGAAATTAATGGGGGGGGGGAAAGGTTGCAGGTAAGAACCCCTTTTGAAATGTACAAAAAAGGCATTTTTCTGTATCAAACATAGCAATTTTTCATAGCATGAAATGCTTTTCAGACCTTCAAGTCTCTCGAAAATCTACGTTTTCCGACCGGACCTGCTGGTTATTATAGTCTAACTTGGCAATTAGAAATTTCAGAACCACCTTTGAAAGTTACTGGTTACGTTTCTGTGCGGTACTTACCATCAATACCAGTAGTTTCAAAACTAAAATTCCTGATTTATTTAATCAGATATTAAAACCTGGGGTGTCGCTGCTAGATCAAACCGTCTTTGGTTTCCCACGGGTGTCCCTTACCAAACAAAACTAGTTAATCATGATAGGAAGTTTTTGTAGAATTGAATTATTTTATTTGTTGAAAAAAACTGACTTGACTAATCATTTGTCTATAACTTTGCCTGCATTGACTTACTGTTTGTGTTAGCCAAGTGAATATACCCCTTCCATTCCATAGGTTTCAGTCCCTTTACACAACTCGATGTAAAGTAGGAGAAAAAAATTAATTGCCTCCATATTGGTACGCACACTTCTGGATCGCCGAATTTACTGTAGACTTATTTTCTCATGTTTATCACGCATTTATATTCATACTGTTTTATTTGCTAAATCTGCGATATATCTTCAATCAAAAACTGTAAATTTCATTTTGTAAAATAAAATATAGCAAAAATAAGAGAAAAAAATTGTGATATTTGTTGAGGGTGAGGTGGACAGGTGAAACTTTTGGATCTCATTATGGTATAATACAGCCCACTGAAAAAAGTAAAATCAATAAAGTCTTTTAGAGAAGATAACAAAATATGTTTATAGCACACATCCACGTACAATGAAACTCATGGAAGCGTGTCATGGATAAATCCTTTGTTATCCAACCAAGCGTTATTATTACATCACAGTCATACAAGTTTTAGTTGGAACGGAATTTGAAATTGTTGATGAATTTTTAGAGTACGGTAATAGTATGGTATTCTAGGATTATGTCTTGCGAATAAATGGAGTTATTTAAGCAATGTGACATGACTTAGAATATTTTTTTATGCAAGAATTCACCTCCAAGTTTTGCATTTGAGACAAGTAATCTTGGGTAACTAATTCTATAAACGACATGGTCTGGTAACCGAGAGAGAGGCTGTGGGTCGTAAACAAATTGAGCCGTGCTATCGGCTTGATATTTTAATATTTAAAAATATTTTTACAGAATACATTCAGAATCATAAATCATTTAGTTCTGGCCATCTCGAAACAGGCCTTTGAAACATTTAAACATCATATCACTGACTATGGGTAATCACAGTAGCAAAGAAGAAAACACTTACAGTGAGATATCTGATTCAACCGATAGTGAGATATCTAAAACAACTGATATATACATAAAATGTGGAATCAGTGGACGATATATTCGGCATAAAAGGAGGAAAATGAAAATTAGGACCATCGTATCACCGTCAAAGAAAGAAAAGTGGTTGAAAACTAACTGGGGAATGACTGGCAATAACTTCAAAATTCAAAGTTTCTGCAGCGAAGGGAAGAAATTAAACTGGGTGTATGATTATAATGATAGAATTGAACTAAGTACCAAAGCTGGGGTTCAAAAACAGGGTGGTTTCATTGAAATTTGTGAGTTTCAACTAAAAAATCAGGCACATGGAGACAGTGTGCAACTATATGAGACACAAAGAAGAAAATATGTTCAAGTAACACAAAATGACAATCTAATTCTGGTTGATAACGAGAATCAGGGATCAAGCTTCGAAGTTACAAACGTGTAAAGGTGCCGGTGATGACAAAAATTGATTCGCTTTCTTTTTTAAATAGCACTCAATTCCTTTGCTAAGGGTGTCGGGCTTGTCAAAAAGAAATGAGTAGAGTTACTATTATTCGAAGAAACCAGAATCTTTTCCGATTGGCATTGCCCATCCAATTCATGGTACTCCCGAAGTATGTGAACCAAGATGGCGGATACCAGAACGTAGTATGTGTACCAAGTTAGGAATGAGCCATAATTTCAGGTACAAATACTAAGAAAGTCACTTGGCTAGTCACCGAACTCGTAATAGAACTAAAATGAGGGAAATTAAAACAAAATTATGACCCTACCTGGTACACATGCTCTGTTCCTGTTTCTGCCATCTTGGTTCACACTTATGGAGGGCCCAATTCATGGCACCCTGGATAAGGTGGTTGGCATTGGAATTTACTCTACGTTACTGTAAAAGTTGAGTCAACACTTCAACAACTAGAGGCCATCCACGTTTGTTTTCTGTTTTTTGCCAAAACAGCGATCAATGCAAAATACATACTAAAATTTCGACAATAAAAACGGTTAACAAAAGTCAACTTATTCTATCTAAAGATAATGCCAATACTTTAGTATTACAGTATAAACCTACTGGCAGCAAATCACAAAACTCCACAATGCCTTATGCAATCGAAAGTTTCATTAAAAATTTTCATACAGCAAGTTTCTCACTGATGAAGACATTGATTAAATATAATTATCTATGACCTACTATCTCCATATAGAAAATTTTGACTCATTCATTGAAAAACGGTTTGTCATCGCTATTTACTGACTATGTTTGTGCTGTTTTATATTATAATGAAAAGTATAAAATAAATTTGTGTTTGTGTGATAACGATTTCTGTGGGTAGGGGTTCCAGTAGGAAATAAATTAGCATGGATATGCGCTTTATAAATTCGGGTCGGGCCTGAAATGTCAATCATTACGTTCTGGTCGGATCGGGCTTCTCCATCGCTGACTTTTTTTTTAAAATAAATATATGTTTATAAAAAATATATACTAAAACTGTATATATTGTACTAAACTCTTGCAATAACAATTCAAAAAACTCCTAAATAAAATATGAAATTTCGGGTTTGCTTCGGGATCGGGCCTGCAAATCAAGTTAATTAGTCGGGCTTGGGTCGGGTTTAATACCCACAGGCCTGGGTCGGGCTGGTAGCGTAAACAGTAACACCAACACCATAAAAGTATCCAAATTGCCATACATTTTTATAGGGCTTACCAGACCATTGGTACTGACATTCGCTAATATTCATGTCTCCATGTTGATTTAATGACTTTTTGCAGCAAACAAATTTTAGGACACGCACAATTGGTGGGTAGCAAACAATATATTATGTTCAGCCAAAGATTCAAATGGTTATACCAGTAGTTCCCAACCTTTCATGATTAATTTTCCCCCCTAAAAATATTTTGTATCTCTTTATTCTCTCTCACAATGCATAAACACTCATTTATTCAATCTTTATTAATGGATCCTTATCTTACCTTTCGCGCAAATCGCACTCTATCTTTGCTTAGTTTAAATAGTATACAATGTACCCATTAGGTGACCGTACATTTGAACCCACGTTCATTTGAACCCATGTGTATATCCGCGGGTTCAATCTATATGCGGGTGCCAAAACCCATGGGTTAGGGTTAGTATGGGTTCAACTATCCGAAAAACAAAAAAAAATTCCATAGGTGCAATAGCATACAGGTGCAATTGTCATGGGTTCAAATGTACGTGGGTTCAATTGTAATGGAACCTACCCATTAATATGTATGAAATATTGTTAAATATGTAAACAATGATATGTAAACTAGCTGGATACAAAGAAATATTCACCCCCTCTCCCTCAAAAACAACAAATTTCCTTCCTAGTTCGAAAACGTTTGTCTATACCTGACATGGGAAAACTACATCCCGCGGGCCAAATCTGGATATTTGATATTTAATAAACAATATGTTAACGAGAATATCGGTTGGAAACCGAAGACTTATCGATCGATAGTTAGGGGATCCCCCAAAACAGAAACTGCAGTTTCGATTCATCCGCTCTTGTAATTTGCGCACTGCGCATCGCACACACACACTCGGCGGGTCTCGAAATTCTCTCGCTTTACAAAAATCTAGATCACTATATCAATAATTGATTGATAACTCGCTAATAGGGCTGTCCAAAATCAAATAATTTTTTGATTCGAATCGAATCGAATATTTTCGCCGAATCGAACCGAATAATCGAATATTATTGCGCAATAGTAAATCTGTCTCTATTATACAATAAACACCTGCCCTTCGATGTTGTGGTAACGTATGTGCAGTTACATCAAAGGAGATCACACGCTTGTATGACCTGGTCAAAAAAATTGGAGAACTCCAAAATTTGGGTCTCGAAAACTGTTGAGTGTTAAGAGTAAAAATTGCATTATTCAAAAATTGCAATCTCAATTTTGATGGATTCAGTTTTAATAGGACATATAAAGCCTGTAGATGCTATTTTAATCCTATTCACTAGTCTTCATGTTTTTTTGTGTAAATTTCAGCAAAATAATAACAACCATCAATATAGATAAAACTGTTGCTCAAGTTCAAAATTGCATTTAAAAATTCCAAGCTAGTTTGATGACAATATTATTTGATGACTATAATATTGTTAATGTACAACAACCATCAAAATGCAAGAGTGCAATTATTTGTCTTGGTATTTAGATGGATAATACAGTAATGCCATCATAAGAAATTACAAATTCCATTTAAAGAAGGTATTGCCATCATAAGGATCCCAAAACACCTGTTTCAGCTTTGAGTTACCTGTACCATGTTCCTATGATAACTAACTCAACAGCTTCAAATCGATTCTATTTATAGAACTATCATTTTCTAGATTGTCTCCTTTTTCTCTCTCAAAAACGTCACGATCGATTATACCTTGTTATGACGACCATGCATGAAATGGCTAATCACACACCACCGGGCGGGCATTAGTAATGACATGTTCATCACAAAATGAAGGCGAGAGAAATATCGGGAAACCAATTAAGCAAGCCGGGAGCGAGAGTGGTCTGAGCTCGGAGCGCCGCCGATTGCCCGATGAAAAACATCCTGTAAAGGTGGTTTCCGCTTTATGTAGGCTACCGGTACCTAATTTTAGCGATTCGAAAATTAGCCGAAAAACGATTCGAATAATTTGCGATTCGATTCGATTTCGAATATTTGGTTCGCTTGGACAGCCCTACTCGCTAATTAGTAATTATACGACATAATTCGCCCAAAATCAATAGGATTCTAGTCCGAGATAAGATGAATGCACATGCAAAATCTGGAGCAGATTCAATCTTGCTTTCGTGAGATATCGCGTGCATCAAACAGACAAACATACAGACATACAAATACCTATCAACATACTTACCGATTAAAATCGATAAGTAATTAATATTGTATACAAAGTCTCGGATTTGCGAAGCCAGAACTGTATTGGGAAACTTCAGGGTGCCCCGGTTGAAAACAACACGCTATTATTATAAATTCCTTGTCGACGGTTTCCTGGTATACATATAATAATATGGTCTGTTGGTTTTCTATTGCCAAATGTGGAATAAAACAAACAAGAACACACAATACACGATTCACTTAAATAAACAAGAGACGTCGTGATAATGGAAGTGAAAATTCTGGAAAACTAGTCTAAGTTACAGAAAGAAGTTTTGAAAACGTAATTAAAGGTATAAGTCTCGCGCCTCCCTTCGCCCTGAATTACCATTTTTCATGTTTTCAATATTGTTTATTCTTAAAGTGTACTTTAGTATGGTAGAAAAATAAATTACCGATTACAGTAATATCTTAAGGAATGAAATAGGTAGGCTATTTTTTTTTTTGAATCGGCCTTTTTGGTCACGCTGTGAGACTTCAGTGACTCAAATGCATTGGAAATTAAATGGCCATAATACATGGTGCTCAGAAAGAACCAAATTAGTTAAAGAAAAAACGTGGAAGTGCTTCGTGCACCGAATGGATAGCATATGAAATATTGAGTGAAGTGAAAATATAAATAACACGGATCCTGTATAAGGTATATTGAGAACTGACACCGTAACAAAATTGAAATTCTAACAAGGCTTTATAAACACACTGTGATTAGATATAGTGTCTAGACTTCAGGTATGATGAGTTAGAATATTTAAGTTTTCAGATTGGCCTTTTTGGTCATGTTTGGGGCTTCGATTATTCAAATTGGTTATATGGTGTGTAATGTCTTGTTACAATTTCAATTCTGTTATGAAGTCAGTTCTCAATATGGAAGTGAAATATATATATAGTGAAAGTGGAATATATCATATTCATAACCAGGTTTATTTTGTTTAAATCAGTGTTTAATAAGATTCCTTTTACTTTTTTAATTAAATCTGGGATTAGTGCACTCTAGTTGGGAAATATTTCTGAAAAACAAATGGGATGCATATGCAGTAAAGCAAGAACAGAAACACATGAAGAGAGTGGTGAGGCTTGCAACGATCAAAACGTTGTAGAATTGGATGGAATAGTGGACTCAGGTAAAGAAATATATACTTCAGAACTGGCCTTACCCATACAGCGGCAGTGAACCTGCTATTCATTTTCAGTTAATTTTGTTATCTCTACCCAGTAATCTCTATTTTCGCATGGGCCCCACGATAGTTAAGGTCGACTCTGCGGGAGAGAGAGGCTGGGAACCATTAAAATGTTGTGAAATTTGATGGATTGGTCGACATAGGTAAAGATATCGAACATGATTGTCCTTAGGCCACAGCAACCTATGTGGCCACATATGCCCCTCACTTCCATTTCAATTTCAATTTATTATGGTGAGTTTTAAATTCCTTTTATCAGAATTTTTTCGACTAGCGGTAATTTTTTTTGCAATGATACATACATTTCAGCAAATTAATATGAACCTAGGTTAGGCAGCTAGTGATAGCACCGATCAAAGTGTATTTGCCGAGTTTTGAGATAATTTAGTGGTGGCTCCACCCGGACTGGGCCTCAGGTGCTCTATTTCAGCATAGGGCCCCACAGTAGTTAATAAGGTCGTCTCTGCATGTCCTGCCAATTCTGAGCATGGAATTTCTGCTTGATATTTGTTTCATCAAGACAGGTTGGAGTGGTGAAGCATCCTCCAGGAATTGGTGTCTGTCTTAGGCCACAACTACCCCAGTGATTTGATCAATTTGACCAATATAATAAATTGTAATCATGTAAGTCAGTCTTGTAAAATGAAGTTACTACAATCATATTGTATCTGAGTATACCAAGTCGCCTTGATGTATTTGAATATAAATCAGTTCAAACTTTTCGTTCCGCTATTTTCTGTTGACGCCGCGCAATAACGGGTATTGGATTTTCACATATACTTTTACATCAAAATGCAATTTAATAGATTAATGCAAAATATGCAAATAAAGAGCAATTTTTATAGTTTCATATCAGAAATTAATCAATTTATTATGCCTAAGGTGAGGTGATGAGCATCGAATTTGAACCAGACTTTCCAACATGCCATCATAGTCAAGTCTAATGCTCAAACCACTTTTCAGCTCGGTGGTGTGGCGCATTGTGCTAAGCATTAGGAATACACTTGCAACCACCTCTGATTACCTTGTGTGGTTTCGCAGGTTCGAATCCTGTGGGAAATAATTATGTGCGAGAGGATTGCTGGTCGCCTCGCGGCCATTAGGTGGTTTTGACGTAACCTCTGGACGGTTACGGGTTCCACCACCATCAAGTCCATGCTTCGGATAACAGATACCTGACTAACTAATCCCATTCCCGACATGGACTGGTAACCGGACGAGAGGCTGTAGTTTACCATAATATGATTGAGCCGTTATAGCAGCTTTCCATTCCCATTCCCGGGATAAATATGTGAAACTTATACTATCCAATTTCTATCTACTTATACACAGATAGCCATGAGTCAGATGATGATGTTCCTGATGGAAATGCAATAACAAGGCCAAAACCAGAACCCAGTACTGCACAAGGTGACAATAAAACACCAAAAAAAACTGGCAACCCTATTCGAGTTATCATTCAAATCAAAGATGGGTTTAATGAAGGCCGCTATGTGTATCCATCAAAATTAAAAATTAAAGTTGACACCTTCAATGATCCAAACAAAGTTCCTAAATGGACAAGAAGACAACAAAATGACAACTATTTCAAATTATCTCACAGGTAGGAATGTCTATAACTGAATAGCAAGGTTGCAGAGTAAAAGTCAATACATTAGAGGTTTTCAACCTTTTTGGTGTAGCACAACCCCAATGATACATTTCGGAGGATTCAGAAACCCCTGTGCAATATTTTAATTGTGTAAACCAGGGGTGTGCAACAGGCGGCCTGCAGCCACAACCCAACAAGCCATTTAGTGTGGCTCACGCTTACATGGATATAAATACATAATGTATTTTTAGCTCGTGTCGGTTGCCCGATGCATTTATTACTGTGAGTCTAAGCGATAGTCGCATTCTCTTCTCTTGCCTTCCCCGCTCAATTTTTTGTGTGACCCGCCTAGATGTCTGGAGCTGACAAAAAATGTTTGACATCCCTCTCTGACGCAACTCACTAAGAGAGCCAATTTTGCAGCTAATGATTTTTCATATTCAATCAATTATCATGATTAGCAACTTTCTGAAATTTATAATTAACATTTCAGCTACAAGAGTAAAGAATATTTAGTGACAGCAAACGGACGTCATATTCATTTAAAAAAAGCCGGGAAAGACGAAAGCAAGACCAATTTTGAGCTCAAGTCTGCAACACATAGTGAAGGAGAAAAGATGATGATTACAACCAGTCCAAATACTAAACGATATGTTGAAGCTACCAAGAAAAAAAAGTTGACTATGAACTCTAAAATTAAATATGCAACTTCTCTTGAAATAAAGGAAGCATGATCATGTGCGAGAGTTTTTACGCGAAGAAAGCATTTGCCTTACCTATTGCTACTATTGCTCACTTCCTGGAGGTAAGCAAACGAGATAACATGGTTTGCTATACAATTAAGTTGTCTTATCAGCTTTCGTCTCCCCCCGGATAAATATAAAAAAACGTCATCATCATATATTTCAGAATTTGAATAATTTTCATGGCCTTATTGTTATGAATTAGTTAATAAACGCAATGACTAATATTTGTATCGAGTTACAATATCCATGTACAATAGGCAACAAAACAGTTTTTCAAATACACCTTGTAGATTCCTATTTATCGTTAGTTATCAAGGGGTAAAAACCTTGTTGAGCGTGAAAAGCGTGAATCAGAGTCGAACAAAAAAAATATATTCGGGGAATCATTTTGTTGCAAAACGTTGTCTTGTTGTAACGTTGTATTTTTCAACTTTAGTGTCAGTCATAGAATTTGAAATAATACAAAGATTCAAATATATATTTTTAAAATGTATTTGAAGGAGTGAATTATTGGCCATTCTAAGTCCTATTGTACAATTCAAGAGTCCTGCTGCACACTAACACAAATGTATTTCGGTAATGTTTCACCTGACCAAAATCAGACTGTAAACTACCTGTCTGAAGTCTGATTTTGGTAAGACTAAACGTTACCAAACTACAAGTGTGTTAGTGTGCAGCAGGACTCTTGAATTGCATAGTATGGTATTTTTATTCCTGCTATAGAAGGGTTGTCAAACTTATGGGTTTTCAAGGGCCGCATATTTTGGGAATTGTGCAGAGGGCCGCAAAAAGTTTTTGATATATTTTGATAATGTATACTAAAAGCATATTTTTAGATATGTGTAGTTAGTGACATATATTGTGATGCAATTGAATAGCCGAATGAAGTTTTGTTCTTTTCTGAAATTCAAAATGACATATTTACATATTAATTTCTTGGTATTTCACTATTATCGCAATTAACTGTATTTATTACAAAAATGAATTTTTTTTACAACTATCCAAAACATTTTTGAACATAGATTTGATAAGGAAAGAATAATACATAAACTAAAAATGACCTAATCTAAATATATAGCCCTAAAATTTACAAAAATACTACAGAATAAACGATGTTTTTTTATTACATAATATGTAATGTATTACATATTATGTCCTGACGCTTGGCGCTCTTTTGTGCCACCAGCTTACTAATACCAGGCTGAAATGATTTTACAGTACCAACTTTAATTAACGTGGTCACATGATCATTGAGAATGTTCGATTAATTTCAGTAATGCAAAAATATTACATTCATCATTTCATGTATAGATCAGTAAACAAAAGTAATGACTGACTTTTCGGACCATACATTTCCCGCCACATTTTCTACCATTGGCAACACGTGGCATATGACCGCTTGGGTTATGATTTATATATATTGATTTTCAGTAACTAGGCAGTTGTATAATTATAATAATATACAAACACATAAAAATATTTTATTCGAAGTTGATCTTTAAATTTGTCATATTGACTGCTGAGCTAATCTTGAGTCTACTTATATTGTATTCTTTCATTGTGCTGATAGAAATGTGCCAACTTATTAAACAATGTGCTTTAAAATTTTGAGAAATACAGAAATATTGCAAGTTGCAACCCCCCTTTATTACAAAAATGCCACCTTCTTCATGTACTTTGCGTTTCATTTAATTCCTGATATGTTTTTTTCAATTATTTTTTTACCAGCCTGAGGTGTATCCATAATTGGGTCAAATTGAGAACAAAAAAAATTTAATTTTCGAAAACTACTTTCTGTAAATTGTCCTTTTTTTGTGTGAATAAACAATTTCACTTCAAAAGGTTTGAAAAATGTATTACATTTAGATGAAAAAAAAAACTTACAAAATATTAGAATTATTGTTAAGTGTTCGAGGGCCGCATTGGAAATTCTCTGGGGCCGCATGTTTGACACCCCTGTGCGAAAGCAGCCTTGCATTAAATGCATACAAATTCACTAGTACAAAGGCCTTGAGAAAGAATTGGAACCTCTACTGATAGTCATCCTAAGTCACATGGCAAAAAGTAAATATTTACTGCTCAAATAGTTAGTAGAAAATGCCTAACAATTATTGATCTATGATATAATAATGGTGTGACAATGCTATTTAATTCATGAAGATGACAGAGCAATAAAATCATGTGATGCAGGGTTAGAAATCAACATCTTTTTATGGTTGTTTTTGAGCACTAAGGTAAACTGAACACATCACAAACAATAATTTGAGTTTTTGTAACACAAACTTAAAACAACTACACTGGAAACAAGGCCCTAGACAAGTACAATTTCTAATAAAGCAGAAACCAACATGAAATATTCTACAGCTGAAATTTATTTTTCTGAGTAACATTAGTTGAACAAAACCAAATACTTGTGTAATTTGCTTTGCATTTTGATTCTTCCTAACACCACAGGAGATAATAATAAACTATTCTAAAGGTGTCAAAATAAAATGATATTATTTCATGAAAAATCGGAAAACATTCTAAATTGGGTCCTGTTCAAACAAGGCATGTAAAAATATTTGATAAATGACTTGAAGCCTCTTTAATGCTGAAACCAACTACATAGCTCAACATTACAAATTAAATTTGTAAAAAATTATTTTTAGTAAGAGTGTGATCAATTTAGTTGTGTTATTCTTGCTGTAGTTAATAAGCTATTGACATACATCGGTCCAAAAATACGATGGCAATATACAAAAATTAGATCCAATTTGTCACAAATTACTAAAATTAATGATGCAAAATCATTCCACTATATCCAATTACAAAAATACAGAGAATAAATGAACATAATTTTAATACCTTATCATCCTTCTTTCCCATTGTAATGATATGATAGCTTTGACTTTTGGTTCAATAAAATTTCTTTCAAAATTCCAGAAGAGAAATTCGCTAAATATCTTACTAAATATTCAATTGCTATCTTTCAAAAAGTAAAAAATTTTGAATAAAATTATGGATTTTACTAGAGAAAAGGTTGAGATTAATTTTTGACGTGTTCAAGTCAACTTTAGAATGCTAATCTTGACTGATTTGGAACTAAGTAATCTGGTAACAGGTATTGCTTCAAACAAATCTTGAGGTGTTGTTCACAACTTCACAAAGTTCTTGACAAATGGCCACTGGTTTCAGAACTGCCTCTTATAAACTCTCAAATTCTCACTTACAACTGTACAAATGAGTTTATCAACCTTTGTTCGAGCAAATAAAAACTTCTCTCAGTCTGTTTGATTTCAGCATTTCAAAAGAATTTAAGTACATATTAACTCAGCAAACCACTATCCATAGAAATGTAGCTTTCATTGGTTGAGTGTGATTATTCAAAATTAACTTTTTTATTTTATTTGCTGTACAGAAAATATACCGAAAAATGAGACTTTCTTGATTATAATCAGTAGCAAACTGCTACTCAAGGAGCACATATCGACACCTCAAAACCAAACAGTGCTAAGTCCACTTTTCCAAAAAATGACATTTTTCAATTGCTAATTTTCCTGGACTTAGCTCTACATTTTGGTCTATTTGCCTTATCTCTAAGTGATTTAGATCTCAAGACATCTATGGACATAACCCTGCTTTTTTTAGGGCATTTGAGAACTAAACAGAGCTGTGTCTACCGTAGTGGACTTAGCTCTGGATAACTGCATTGTAAGTTGGGGCCAAGTCCGTTTTTTGGACATAGCTCCTCTCAAAAAATATAATACAAAGCGCTAAGTCCATACCAGCCTCTATAATAACATAATAAAGGGGCCCTAAGTCCAATAAAATTGTTTCTGGTCCAGAAAATTGAAAGCCAAAAAGGGTTAAGTCCAAAAAAAACCTCCCCAAAAAAATTGGGGCGGAGCACAAATTTTTTTATACCATCTAAATATGGCCTTCATTGTCACTTTGGTGGACCATAAAAACTAGACATCCTCGATGTAAGGTATTAGAGAAATAAAAAAAAGAAACAAAAAAAAAACATTTTTTGCGTTTTTCTAAAAACTAGAAAAATGGACTTAGCCCAATTTGGATTTCATGCGTCGATATATGGTATGGACAATTTTTGGGTCTTGTGTAGTTTCGTACCTCACATACTTCTAGTGAGCGTAGCATAACAATTTTTTCACATGTCAATCCTAACCCTGACTGGAATACGCCATTCAAAAACTACATAGAGCTTGCCAAAGTATACCTACAATCGCCCGAAATGGCATCTGCGCCGATGATGAAGAACTCACTAACGGCAGCGATGAGAAAACGAAAAAAATAGCTTGCACGATTCGGGTGATCGCTTGCGCGTCTTGGATGACAGTTCGCATAGTTTGAAAGGCTCCATTATGTCACTGTGACGTCGTAGTGACATAATTTTTGGATGATGCAGTCAGATGAAGGTTAGGATTGACATATGTAAAAATTGTTATGCTACGCCCACTAAAAGCACTTTAGTACTTACTACACAAGACCGCAATTTTCGACAGTAATTATCTGGCTGGAATTGGTGATGACTATTGGTTGTAACGTCATTTTCCAGTCTATAGCGAAATAAGTTCAGTGTAATTCATCATTTCAATCTGTTACTTTCTCTCACACATAAATACAAATGCTCAAAACTTGGGGTCAAAGTTTGATAAAATCAAACACACAAACAGGTAATTAAGAACAAATCAATTCGAGCACAAAAATTATTACACATTGCAATCCAAGGACATCTATTTCGCACATAGGCTGCATAAAAAAATGTATCGCTAAAAACACCAATAAAAAATATATACGGTAAGCGTCCTGAAATGAATTCAATATTAAAACGAATACCTTATAGCATAATTATGTTCTGGAATGTCAGTAACTGCTAAGTCCCAGAGTAAATAGATACCATAATTAAAAACACAAAAATTTATCCCAAAAAACAACAAAAATTCTGGTTACTGTTTACAGAGTCTCACTAAACTACTGAATACACCACGAAACAGTGCAAAATAAACCTGGTAAATGTGAAGCGGAATAATACATCGCAACACGGAGAGAAACCACACGAAATATAAAAAACTCAAATACTTGATACTTAAAGAATCTCCACCCCAAGTTAGACCAACTGTAGAATATCCACCCCAACTAAGACCAACTGTAGAATCTCCACCCTAACTAAGACCATCTAACCCTAACCCAACCAAATAATTAGTCCAGCTCAAATAATGGATCAACTGATATTATCGGTTTAGGTGGGTTGGGGGAGTGGGATATTCTTCAGTTGGGAAATGTGATCAACTGAAGAATCTCCACCCCAACTGAAGAATGTCCCCCCTTCCCCAGGTGATTCCAACTGAAGAATCTCCTCACAGGTGGGTCCGAGGAGAAATGATTCAGTTGATCCTTTTCATATTATATAAGCTATGTTAATACTGTAATAAAGGATTAGGATCTCAGATATTTATTCCGAGGGAGAGGTGAGCCGATAACATGGCATAATCCTAACGTCTGGTTACCAGTCCATGTCGGGTTTGAGATTAGTAAGCCAGTTATTTGTTTCAGATGCATGGACTTGAATTTTGGTGGAATCCGTAACAGATCAGCGCTAGAATGCTGGATGAGCACTCATCATCTGAAGCCACATTCTCTCTGGACTAGTGGCTCCTAAACATTATGGTATTGTGAGTTGTGACCCCTAAATTGAATCACCCCTTTTATAAAAATTAATTTCCAGCGCACAATTTATCCAATTTAAGCAGCCACAATAAAATAATAATCCCTAAGCACTTGACCAACCTCCTTGATTTATTGTCAGTGGCAAGAGTGGATTTCATTTGGCAATATAAAACGACAAAACCTTGGCAACATGAACGACAGACAGCATTTCATATCGTCAGCCAACCACGCTCACTGCCTGGTGCGCTGACAATAATCACCAACAATGCGAACACTGATCGACCAGCTTTTTAGCAGACCAGCAAAAAGGACAATAAATGTAAAAAATTGTTAATAGTGAACGTCTGAATTACCCCATAATACTGTAATATTGTCCAATTACCCCTTTGGGGGCAATTACCTCTAGATTTAGAATGTTGAAAGACGATCATCTTTTTCGTCGTAAGGTGACATTTTGCGCCATCAACACAATGACAAGCGACGTGCGTGGTTACCGACACCACAAAACAAGACACGTGACTGGTAATTATAGAAATTGTGATGCAACAATTCGCTTAAGCCAGTTCTTTCCGTAAATGACATTTTATATTTCATTGTTTTCAAATACTGAAATATCAGTCAAGAAGGTAAATTGAGAAATTAGACCAGCTGAAAGATTCGACCCCTTCCTCTTGGATCGCCCTTGCATTGACGACCTTCAGACCTTGGCACGACCCATTTTTAACCCTCCCCACCTATGTTTGGGTCGCGACTTATACTTTAAGAAACACTGATCTAGAACATAATTACAGGTAACCCCCTTCATCACTGCTTACTTAAAATTTATCCAACTGTTATCAAAGACACAAAAAACTGAAAAAACTAGACCAAGTACTGAAGTGGTACCGGTACCGGTACCCTACACGAGTTCAAATTGGCTATTTTTTAACGTTAGTTCTATTCTACGCGAAGATCAAACTTTATTTGTTGACTGATGGAATACCATTAAAGGGCTTGTAACCTTTCTGTTTGTTTTTTGTTGACGTCACTAGTCATGACGTCACAAATTTCTGCATTTTCCCCCAGAATAAAATCACGGTTACGCTAAATCAACAAGGCGACACAGAAATTCTTCCAATAATACAGGACTCAAATTAAACTATTTTTTGATGTCAGGAGATTTTCAAAATATTAAAATTCGATTCCACAGCACCACCTCGCGTTTCCTGAGTTAATATAATTTATGTGACTTCCTGTTTATTGCTGGTTCGTTGTTTGTTGGGTGTCAGGGTCAGGTAGAATCGCCTTAAAAAAAATTTTGTTTCATGGGGATAGCAGATAGTGGGACAGAGAGAGTTGGCGGTTGAATAATTTTTTAAAAAACAAATTTTGATAGAGTTTGATTTTCTGTTTGTAGCCTTTTTTATTTTTAATATTCGGAACACTGTAAACTGATTCGAGCTGTAAAGCTGGGGTCTGACAGCAACACTCTCAGACTCTTGGCACTCAGGCACTGGCTATAGAAGAGCATTCAACAAATATTAGATTATCGGAAACATTGCAGCATTGTCTGATTGTAGGGTGTTGGTATATACAATATAGGAAGTGGTGAAATTCAAATTTTTTTGTAAGCCGGTTCCCTCACAAAAGTTTATTTTTCAGCCGATTCTGTTACAAACAGAACATTGACAATACTGGGTAACCACCAGTAACAGAGTAATGCCAACCGGTTCGCTGATCTTGTAAAATTACGTGAGGCGGTTCTATAGAACCGTTGCGAACCGGCTGAATTCCACCACTGCAGCACTGGATAAACGCTGTTTACAGCGTTTGCTATGAACCTATCTCTAGGTTTTGCCCATTTTCCCGATCTTTCCGTCTGTATTTTATATAAGTATAAGTATAAGTTTATTTCGACTCCATAATCAGCATAACAATACATTTGACAGATAAAAACAAATAAATAAAATCTGATTATGAAATCAGGGGAGCAAACAAAACCTTAGATAAGGTTTATAACGTACAAAATATAAGATGAAAGGTTTTGCCAAGAGGAAGTGGTACGTGTTTACTCACCTAAAATTATCAAGTTATTTCACACACGCTCACATGCACCCACCAGCCACACACACACACAACCACTGAGAAGTTATTTAAGTAAGAATGAAACGCGATAAATTTAGGGTATACTATACAGTAAACAAAAAAAATAAATAAATAAATACTAGAAAAGAAAATTATCTGCCACACCATATTGATATTTTTGTAATGGTTGCCATTGCCAAATTGATCGATCTTCTAATCGTTAATTAGGTATATAAAAGGAAGATTCTATTGAAAACATATTGCCAAGCTGATTATAGTTGGAGTCAAATGCCAAGTTGCCCAACCAAAGTTGCCAGAATTGGGTGCATGAAGAGGTGGGCGAGACCATTTCATTCCCCAAATTAGAGCCTATTATTGCCAAATTATAGTCCAGATTGTAATAAGTAATTAAGTTACCGGTAACAGTAAAATTACTATAATTAAGTAAAGTAGGATGTGGAAATAAATTGGTTACAAAGGGTCTAAGTGAGGTTTTTCATTCTTGGGTATTGATTTCAGACAAGGATATGGGAATGAGGTTGTTATTTCACAGGATATCGGGAGTCTTTTTTTGTTTTTTTCCTTATGTGTTTTACTTCATTTAATCACTTTGAAGTAACCTGAAAAACAAAAAATAAAACTGCGAGTAGATGTTTCAATGATTGGGTGAAGGGGAACGCTCTGAACTATTTATTACAGGCAAAAAATAATTGTTTAATTAAATGGGATGTATTGTCATTATATAGCGATGGATAGATGATCTATGATGACATTCTGCTTGGGACAGAGAAAAATTTATCACACCATGCAAAAAACACACAAAATTTTAATTTTCATCTGTATTCTGTGTTGTAGACGAAAGATCGAAATAAAATTGTATTGTATTGAAACACAAGGACATGGAATATTGCAATATTGGATTTTACTGAGTTATAGAGTACGTATTTTGGTATGTGATAATTGTAAAAATATCATATAGCTGTATAGGCTAAAACTGTAATATTTGTATAACTGTATAATGGTACATAATTTGCATTTTCCAGTTTCTAATATACAATAACATGTTTTCTGATGTATAGTCCTTAATAGAGGCTTCCTCTGTGTGATATTTCACGATGGCTTCAGCTGGACAGAAAGATGCTGAATACTCATTAGATGAAGGTTAGTGTGGTATGGTTGACTCAAGTTTGATTCCGGCTCCGAAAACGAATAGATCTTTGAGGCATGCTTGATCAGAAGTATCTTATTTAAATGTGTATGTCAGTACGGCACACTATCCAAATTCCAAGAATGTGCCGTCATTTGGTTCAACAAACTTTCAAACTAGGAGTGTCTGACATGACGACAGATGAGTCATATCGTGCCATGCTTGTCTGGATAATAATCTAAATTAATCACTGTCGTCACAGGACTGAAATTCCTGTTTTTTGCTTAAAATCATCGATTGCTACTGTAGAAAATTTTTTCCTTCAGTAAATCTGATTATTTTTTCATAGGGAATTCAATGATGACGTTTTTAGATTGCGCTTTTTTGCGCAACTTCATTTTACTGTATTTTACCCAATATTGAGGGACAACAATGTCCAGACGTACCCCATTTGAGGGGTGTTTGTTTATTAGCAAAATGGGATTCTCTGAAACGAGACAATGTCTCTCGATCTGTAAAGTGTGCTGTACTCTATGTGCAGAGTTGCACCTAATTTATGTTGCCATCTGTCAAGTAACATCTACGTTATATTGTTCTTGTTGACAATCATGTGCAAATACACACATGATTTTGTATTAAAATATTTACAGTATTTATTTTAGTCATTTATCCACCCAGTACTGTTTTATTAATCTAATAATTTTGGTCATTAGTGGGTTTTGTTTGGAGTGAAGATACGAGTCCATGTCAGGTATGGCATACGAACGTGAGAACCCACGAATGGTAATCAGGAGTGCGGTTGCGAGGGTATTCCTAACGCTTAGCACGATGAGCCACACAGCCAAGCTAAGGCAATCTATTACACCTTGAATATAAAACCTTTTTTTTAGAAATGTGTTCATTGGACATTGGAAAGAAAACGGGCAGCCCTAGTCAGTTGGGGGAGTCATATGACACAGAAGATTGCTTGGAGCAGACTTATCAAATGAAGGGAAACGCAAAAGATAATCTGATACGGGACTTGGAAAGAAGTATGTATGAAATATACGAGTACTGGGTTATTAGATTATGGGGCAGTGAAACTCAGCTCAATGAGATTTTTCACAGGTAGGCCAGAAAATTACCTTGGCTTAGCGTTCTTGATAGCCTATTGAAGAAGGCTTGCAAGTTTTTGTTATTAAATTTTTCTTCAGAAATTTAAAGCTTGAGTAAAATTTTCGAGCATTATGGAGTTGGGACTTGAGTCAAAATTTAATTCAACTCAAAGTCGGAATCAATTGTAAATTTCTTTCCTCTTCAGCCTTGATAGTAAAAACTTTATTTTGCTTTTAGAGACCGATAGCATGAAGGAGTCGGTCGCGAAATTACAAAAAGAGAATAGCATTGATTCGAAACTTGCAAAAGCCGCTTTTCAAGCAAATTTTGGGAATTTTCACAAAGCGTCAAAATGGCTGGGTTTCGTTGTCGCAAATGAAAAAGTCATGTTGGTTAAAAGATTGGCAACTTTGTTTGATCGCCAAATTGGTGAGTGTTTTAAATTTAATAAGCAGTTAAGCGTAACTTGTCAGAATATTGTAGCTTGTATTTTAGAGTGATATTTTCTGACAGGAATTGGGTTTACATAAAATTAATCTTTGGTTTTATTATATGATGTTCTACGGACCTTTCACTCTGGGCAAAGCACTGTATAGGGAACTACTGTTAAAAGAATTATAGGCAGTGCATCACGCACGCTCACTCAGAAGTAAAAGAAACTAATCTCAGAGCAAAATATGACCTATTACCGAAAGGTCAATAGCTCCTGAATTGCGAGAATGTATTACACCAAAGTAAATGCCACTTAGCCCAGTTAGTTAGTAGTGATCATTTTTCACTTTCAGTATATAAGAGCAATAAATAGCCTATTTTAACCTAATATGCTTTTCTAAATTGATTTTAGAAATATTTTTGAAAAGAGCCACTGTTTTAAAACTTGTTGATCAGTTGGGCGAAACGATAGCAAAAGCAGCAGTTCAGGCTAATCCGACACTAGATGTTGATTCATGCATGGACTGGGCCGAGAAGAACAAACTCAACGAGGGTTCAATCACATCATTATCTGAAGAGTATGATCAAAATTTGAGTAAGTTGTGAACGGTAAAATTTGATAAGGCCGTATTGCCTGTTTGGTATCAAATAAAACCAATGCTCCTGACATTGCGATTAAGCATAAAGGCTTTTACTAATATCTTTTCCTATCTTTAAACCCATGGGTGGGTGTGATCTAAGTTGCCACTGCCACCACACCATTTGCGGAATTAAATTTTTATTGTCCTGCACTTGCAACATTACGCTTATGTGCGTAATAAAGAACAATTACATTATGCTTTTAAATTGTGGCTTCGACTCATCTTTTCTAAAGCATAGCTAGAATGCCCATTTCCCTTTTCATATGTAGTTTGCTTGCCACTGTTCATTGGAATGTTACATACTTGTCTGTTATGTACAAGTACCTTTAATTATTTGAGATTATCTGGAGCGGGCTAGTTTTAGCCAAGCCTACATGTCAGCGCATTCTGATAATATATTATATTGTTGGAATATTTCACAAAGTTTGTGAATCGTATAGGACTCTGCTCAGCGTTAAAATATTCATGCTCAGTGAAACAAACATTTTGCTCAGTGTAACATTTCCTTAGAAGGAACACAGCTGGTATTACAGATTCCATTACATCACATCACAATAAATTGGGTAAGCCATGCTGAACTAGGAACATTCTGGTTCTTTCAAAAAATAGTAATGGTTTGGTGGTAGCCGCATCATGCTAAGCATAGGGAATACTCGTGCCACTGTACCAATGATTGCCCTGCGTGGGTTCGCAGGTTCGAATCCTGTGGGGGTAGGATTATGTGCGAGAGGATTGCTGGACTCCACATCGTCGTTGGTGGTTCATGTAACCGCTTGTCAGTTAGGAATTCCTCCACCGTCAAGTCCATGCTTCCGAAAACAAATAACTAGCTAACTAATCCCATACCTGACATGGACTGGTAACGGGACGAGAGCGCACTGTCTGCCATATGATTAAGCCAATATATCAGCTTTCCTCTTCCCAGGATAGATATGTAAATCCTATCCAAATCGTTGGATAAAATTTTTTTAAAGATTTATACTTATTTAATCCTAGGTATGCTGATGAAAATATACCAAGTTAAAATACTGGTTACAAAATATGGGATGAGTGCTACAGAAGCAAAAGCCTCAGTCTATCAGACTAAAGGAAACATCAAGGAATGCATGAAATGGGTGCGAAGCAATAAGGAAAACTATGGGGCTGTCGGGATATATTCAAAGTTATTTGAACATGAAATTGGTATGTATCATTAACTCTCTTTTTTTCTCATGTTTTGAATCCCAACTGGGTGCTAACTAAAATCATGATACTGCATGTAGCAGCATTCAACTTCTGAATTTAAAATATCCTTCTGTATAGTTTAAACTCAAATATAATATTACGTCAATCTGTAACAAAAAATGATAAATTCTATTTAATTTTTCTTCCTTCCAAAAAACTGGTTTTCTTCTCAATATTAAGATTCAACCTCAATACCTGTAACTGATTATTTCTTATAGGGCCTTCCAGAAGGTCCTACATTTTTTTATAGTAATGTCCATGTTTCCTATATCATTAAACATTCTGAATTGCATTTTGTTTTCCAATAAATCAAGCAATCAACATAAAATCATGCTTTGTCTAAAAAAAGGATCCGCAATTACAAAGAATATATTTATTGACACTGGAACAACAAAAATTTATCGCATTCTCTTATCAATGAACTATCTCTATGTGCATACAAAAATTATGACAGTCCATTCCCATCACATTGCAATCGTTGTGAATCTATAGAAAATTACAAAACGGTAAAAAAAGTGTCTCAATTAATACCTGGATACCTGGCCCATACCTGCGATTGCGATTCTTGAAAAATATATAAAAATTTTCTTAGGTGAAAAAAAGTTAAAATTTTCAATATTTTAGCAGACTAATAAAAACTATGTATGTGCAGTAGTTTTTAGGAGTCTGTAAATAACATTTAATTAACTTTTTAAAGCTGAAATATTTAGAACTTTTTCTACTATATGTACTGTGAGAATTTATTTCAAAAATGGGTACTGCGAAATATGTGTACCAGATTAGGGTTAGGCTACAATTTTATTCTGATTTACCTTATTTTAGTTCTATTACGAGTTCGAGACTGTCTCTGTTAACCAAGTGAATATCGCCCTGACCATAGGTTTCAGTCCCTTTACACACCTTGGTGTAAAATAGGCAAACAAAATTAGTTACCTCCATATTGGTAGACACACTTCTGGGCCGCCCGAAAATGATCTAAATAGGGCCTTCCAGAAGGCCCTTTCAATTGAAAGTGTAACATGCTTTATATAGAGGTGCATGGTAGTTTATTTCATATTTACACTATTCCCACCACATCACCCTGGCTTGCAGTAAATTGATAGGCAATATCCAATTCTCTTTTTTACAGAGGACAAACTGATTGGGCAGATATTCTTGACTTCAGAACCCGAAACCTCGCCATCCTTGAATAAGAAAAGTATGGAAGACTTACAGATGCATAGGTGAGGTTTGGTATATGATTCAGTTTTGTCATGAGCAGGGATTGGGAGCTGGTTAGAAATTACAATTACTTCAAATCCATCTCCACAGTAAAATTAATCCGTGGCTACAGCTCTGGAGGTTCAATATTCCTCGTAGATTACTCAACTTTTCAGGTCAAGTTTAACGCCCGAGTTCATGCTTGTGTATTTTTATTTTTCAAGCTTTTTACGCCCGAATTCAACAATTCGCGTATATATTATATATACTTTTCTTTCTCAAGAATCAACGCCCAAACTTTTTGAATTTGTGTCTTATTATCAACGTATATCTTAAAACTAAATGTGTATCAATCAGATCAGATGATGCATGGTTCACATACATTAACTGTGAATCTTAATAGTGAATTTCGGGGAAGCTGACTTTGATGATCTTATGTTTGTATCTGTATCGCTCCCTCCAGTCTATAACGAATTGATTTTGTTTATATTTTTTTGTACCATTGCTTGTTCTCTGGTTGACGAAATAATAATCTCTCTCTGTCTCTGCATATCCATTGACCACAACCATAAAACGTTGGCACAATTTTAGATTAATCTTTGAAGTTTCAGATATCATTCTAACTTGAAACCTGGAAATTTAGTTTAAAAATATAAGCTCCAAAGGATAGATGGTTAAGCCGTCTTTTCGTCATTCCTCTCTCCCGAGATATATGAATCCTAATGAACTACTTTCTGTATTGCAGGTCTCAAAAAGATGTTTCACAACCTGCCAATATTGGGCAGGGCTTTGTTCCAAAGATGAGTCAGTCCAAAACAGTGGGCACAGACGGAGGGGTGATTACTATTGGTGGAAATAAAATACATATACCCCCCGGTGCCTTGAAAAAAGAAATTCATTTGGATATAACATTGAACCATGAGACTGACAATGTATCTGATATCGGGGTCCCAATTACCCCCATCCTGTCGTGCGTCCCTCATGTTGAATTTGATAAGCCTGTTAAAGTCGGCCTCTCGACTTGTTTTAGCGCGATAGGCTCTGATAAAATTTCAGCGATTGTTTTTGGTCGTAAAGATGTTGATTCGGAATGGAAAGAGACACAAAAATTGCGTCTAGGCCGTAAAAATTATCTTGAATTCGAGGTTTTGCATTTTTCTGATGATGTCATAGCGGTTTCGGAAGAAGATTGTGAATTAGGTGAAATTCATCTTATTAATGATGTTTTTATTGAAAAAGACACCGAGTATGTTGCGTCGTTTTTTTTCATTGATTTTACGTTTTACGAAAAAACGCGGGAAAATTTACGAGATCGAAATATCGTACAAATCCTCATGAGTGAGAGAGAGATAATCACGAAAATGGGTGCAAAGATAAGTCTTCGTATTGACTGCAAGCATCCACAATCAACTGCAATGACGTCGTGTGGTAACCAAACAGTCCAAGTCACCCCCTCTTTCCTAAAGAAACGAAAGCACGTTGTTTATTTCACCTTTGACCCCGAGCTCGGAGGATACAAGGGACGTATCAACATGAGATATTACACAAGGGTTGAGGGAGAAGAAGAAGAAGTTTCTCCTCTCGGAACGTCATGGCCGATTGTCGTGAAGAGTAAGTATTAAGAGTTTCGTTTGAACTTTGAAGACATGATAAGAAGTCAATGAAAGTTTACGAACGATTCCAAACTTTCTATTCGTATTTCTAAAGTGGTCTTTAGTTTATCAGGGTTTAATATTGTGAAGAGACCCGTCAGGCCGCCCCCTGGTTACCGCTTTGTATACACTTGATTTTCCTAGCAATTTCGTGGAAAGAGATTGGGTTATTTTTGTGCATTTCCTACTTGTGAAATCTAAGCCTTATTTTCTCCCAATAGGTAAGAAGCCTCGTCTTGAGGTATTGACTAATTCCTATATTTATTTACAGGGGATTCGCCGAACATTCATTTCACTTACGACGCGAGTACAAAAACAACAGCTAACGTCATAGCTACTGAGGGAGGGACTGCAAACGTGTCAAGCAAGAATCCAGTGTATAAAGCTGGATGAGGGAATTTCTGGGCTCACAAAATATATTATTTGAAATTATTTCATATGAAAAAAATGTTAACAATACTGTATTCTGTTTACAACATCAAGTTCAGATTTATCAGCAAAACTCCTGTTCACTTACATATATTTGTTATCACGAAAAGTTCAATTTTCAATTGAAGCATTCTAGGTGTGGCGCATCGTGCCCACCGCCGCACCTCTGATTAGCCTGCGGGGGTTAGCAGGTTCGAATCCTGTTCAAGGATAACTATGTGCGAGAGGATTGCTGGACTCCTCGTCGACACAGGGTGGTTCACGTAACCGCTGGTCGGTTACGGCTTCTTCCACCATCAAGTCCATGCTTCCGAGAAACAAATAACTGGCTAACTAGTCCCATATACGACATGGACTAGCCGCTGACAAGAAGGCATGGTTTTCCTGGATGAATATGTAAATCCTAATATTGTTAAGATTGCTAGTAAAGTTGATGCTTTCTGATATTCCATAGAAAATTTTGGGTGCTCTCGAAGTATGCGAACCAAGATGGCGGACATCGGAACGTAACATGGGTAACAGGTTAGGGTTAGGCGATAATTTTTTTCCAATTTTCCTTATTTTAGTCCTATTATCAGTTCGAAGACTAGCCAAGAGCCTCCCGTAGCATTCATACCTAAAATTATGGCCTAACCCTAACCTAGTACACATGTTACATTCCGATGTCCGCCATCTTGCTTCGCATACATCGGGAGCCCGAAATTTTGAGTCAAAGTCCATTTCCACAGCCTTTTTTATCAATTTGCATTTTTTATCATGAAAAGTTCAAATGTTTTACACGTACTATGTTCCGGTGTTTGCCATCTTGGTTCACATACTCCGGGAGTTCCAAATGTTTGATATTTTATGTTCTTGTTAACCATGAGAGCCTTATTTGCCATGACTGTAAAAAATAATAAACTAATCAAATCACTTTTATCTGCAATCTATTTGCTTAATCTAATTTCTAAAAACTGTAAACAATATAAAACCAACTACTCTACCGTTCTTCTTAACTATCCAGCATTTTAAAATCCAAATTAATATTATAAATTTTTATGTGTTGTTTGTTCTATATATCAGATATTTTAAAATATTATTTGTATTTTAATGTATTTGGAATAATGAATTATTAGCCATTTACCGTGCTCTTACTTTTCTCATTTAAAGTTGCCGAAATTCAAGAATTGCCAAAAATGTAGAGTTTTCACATTTTTTTATTTCTTAATTACACCTTATGTTTTACTTTATATATTATTGTCTTCAAAACCCAATGCAAACTCTCTGTAAACTCTTCAAACTGTAGCAAATTTATATAAACTTTGATATCTCATGTTTCAAATAGGTTTTATATAGAATTAGTTAACAAAAACCATAATTATGCCTTCACCACTGTCGGTGATCGAATCTTTGAGAAAAACAGAGAAAGGCCGATTGAAATACTATAACGAATGGACAGCAAAGGACTTAGCAAGTGATATTGCGTCGCCAAAAATACGTCGAAGCACAGAAGGAATTGTTTTTGAAGTGTCGTCGATCCGAGCGGCCCTCGAAGCGATTGATGATGACGCAAATGTTCATGCGGAAAATGCTATCGATGAGGAGAAAACAAAATCTCGACTTGAAATGAGTAGGAAAGAAAAAGACCTGGATGAAGGATTTAGAGGTTCGTGTTCTTCATAGTATATAACGTGATTCTAGTCCAATTGTTCTCAACCAGCGGACCATGGCCCATTGCTGGGCCATAGCGACATTTTCAAGAGGGCACAAACCCACAAGCCAATTAAAAACTACTATAGCGATTGAAAAGTTTAGTTTCATTTGTGTCAGTCAAATATTTATTGTAGAAGCAATGAATGATGCTGCTGCTTTTCATTCTGAATATTAAGGTGAACGTATTTATTTTTGCAAACAGAGTCTTGTTTTTCTCGTAGTTTTCCTCTTGCATGAGAAATTTAGTGGGCCACAGAATTTTAATGCAACGAAAGTGGGCCATGAAATGAAAAAGGTTGAGAACCACTGCTCTAGTCTAACATCATTGATAAATGCTGGCTCATAATTCTTGGGTCCCATAGTATGTGTACCAGGTTAGGGTTAGACCATAATTTTATTCCGATTTTCCTTATTTTAGTTCCATTAAGAGTTTGGGGACTGTCTGTGTTAACCAAGTGAATATACCCCCTGCCCTTTACACAACTAGATGTAAAGTATGCAAACAAAATTAGTTACCTCCATATTGGTACACACACTTGTGGAGCACCCGTAATTCTATGCTACAATTTCTTTTCTAATGGTTGTCGGTACCTTTTCTCAGATACCCTTCTCTTTCATTTCCGTGTGGGTTGTTTTGGGCAAATATTGAACGAATGAAAGCTAAAGAATGAATGCATTACGGCCACATTAAATTATTAAAGTCTTAAAAAAACGAATCAAAAAAGGATCGAAATCTTCCTTGTCCAGCATTGTCTATCCAATTTATTTAACCCGTTTGTTTAAAAATTATCTTGAAATTCTGTGAACGTAACTAGCTTGCAAAAGGTCCGAGTCTAGTTCATAATCAATCATTTCATTTAGTCGAATGTAGTCGTGTCCTGTGAACTACTGCTCTACACCAGGGTTGTGCAACCTCTCATACAGGAGGGTCATATACAATTAAGTGGGTAATACCGCGGGCTGCACCTTTGTTTAAACTAGACTTTCTGGTAGTGCCGCGCACAAAAAAAGGATTTGTAACGTTCTAGATAATAAATTGGATTCCGGTATAGACTTTGCAAAGGGATTGGAAATACTCTCAAGTACCAGATTAAACTAAATTAAAAACTTTTTCACACTATTCAATATCGGCACTTCTCCGCGTGCCGCACAATTTTTCTGTGTAGGGCGCAGGTTGCATACCCCTCTCTTCACTATGGCACAGAAGCCTCTCAGCCGACAGTGCTTTACATTGACTAGTTTTTCCTAGATGTTCCTATTTTTCAGATTTTATTGATGTTGATGCGCCGCTTCGTCAGTATGAAGCTGAATTAGAGGAACAGAAACGAAGGGAAAATATTGAACAGATTAAAAAACAGGAAGAATTTTACGCTGAAATTGAAAGAAAAACACAGGAAAGAGTCAGAAATAGGAGAAAAGAAGAATTGCAGAGAAAATCTAGGGAAGAGGAGAGAGTGAGTTTCATAGATTGTCCTATTGCTATCTATCTCAGTCTTTCCCCCTTGATAATGCCTAACATGTTGTCATGGGGTCATGTTACCCCTTTATTCTAAAAATATAATCTTGTCTGCGCTGTTCGGTAGTCGAGTACTTTTTTACACAAGGCTGTAGAGCTGAGGGAATATTCACATCCCACTGCAAGCTATTCAAACTACCAAACTTTGAATTCCAACTCAGATTGGAAAAAAAATTGATCTCATCGTGTAGGAACTTCTGACTGTATCTCCAAAATCATAGGCCATGCATGTGAAATGCATAATTGGTTAACTATTTCCTCTCCTCGTACCCGACAGGGACTGATAACCGGACAGAGTCGTGGTTCGCCCCACGATTAGGTACTTAGGTACATTTTTTTGGAGCTCCAGAAGTATGTGCGCCAAGATGGCACACAACCTGAACATAGTATGTGTACCAGGTTAGGGTTCAGGTTGTGCGCCATCTTGGTGCACTTACTTTGGAAGCGCCTTTTTCTTTGATGTTTCATTTCCCCATTCGATGTTTACCTTGTTCAGATGAAAAGATTTTTCCAAGAAGCCGAGGAGAGTGCATTGAGGATTCGCCGTGAGATGCAAGCGCACCAAGATCATATTATTAAAACTAGACAACAGGTAAGGTGGCTGCACCCCCTTTTAAGAATTTGTTTAGTCTCGCACCCAACATCCAAAATACCCAGCTAACAATAAGCTACAAATGAAAGGCGAAAGTATGTTTCATTCAAAAAATACTTTGAAAATTTGTGGATTGAACGTAAATATCCAAAATAAGGCGGGCCAGATCAAATCTGACAAATGGTTTTAATTAGCTTCGTGCCACCTCAAATATTGTCTACTCATACCTAATTAGTTACATCCTCTATGGTCATACTGTGCGGCTTTTATAATTTTTCAACTGAAACTACAGTACTCTTAATTATACCTAAAATCAAGAATTTTGATATTAAATACCGTATATGCTCGTTTTACTGCCCGATTTTGATTAAGGGCCTGTTTGAATAGCCGCCTGTGTGAACAAGACATAAAAATCAAACGAGCAAATACGGTATAAACAATTTCAAACTATTCCTAATATTGGTTTTGGATATTTGGACCTGATAGGCCTATATTCAGAATAGTAAAACATTTGGTTATGGTCATCCCTGCCTCCACTTTAAATTTCATTCCGCCTGGCTGATGAGTCTCACTTGGGTAATTTCAGAAATTCAGATTTTATTTTTTTCTGGCTAGACTGTAAATCAGTCTTACCTGGTGGCCCCAGCTTGAGAAAACTGACATTTTAGTCATCCCTTTGAATTTATTCTATGTCCGGCTTATCAGTTTTACTAATATTTCTACTCAGGAAATGGAAGAGAGAAAACTCAGACTTCAACTTTTGCAAATGAAAAAGCAGAAAGAAGATTTTGAAAAACTTGCGAACCACATGAGAGGAATTCAAAACGTACAAAAAGATTGTTTGGAGAGGATTAGAGAACTCCCACAAAACATTGTTGCAGAAATTGGGAATAGTAGAATTCCAATTTTTGTCGGAAATTTGAATGAAATTTATAATCGCTCAAATTCAGTGTTCACTGAAGCAAAAAATCGTGGAAAAACTGATGAAAATGAGATTGTACGTCTTAAATCGGATTCGGAAATGATGACAAATATACGCAAAAATATTCTCAGTGAAATTGACTTAGTTGGTTTACGAGTCAAAGAACTGGAAATCCGAGCTGAAAAAGAGAAACAGGAACTGATTTTGAGGCAAAAACGGGAAGCTGCACAGGCTGAAAAGCTTGCTGCTGAATCGGCGAAGGCTAAGGCTGCTGCGTCAGCTGCTGCACAGGCTCCAACTCAAAGTTTAACAGAGCTGCACAAAAATTTGAAATCGAAAATGACTGAGTACGAATCAGAAGGACGGAAATTAACAAAATCAAGCGATAGAAGCATGAAACAACTAGCAATGGGTTTAAGCAGAGCGGTCAGTGTTCCCATATCTTCGATTACAGATCGTTCTGGTTCCGATTTGAAAAGCCGCCTTAAAATCCTCGTGAACGTTATAAAAACAAACCCTGTGACTTCGGGAACGCAGACAGTTTCAACGAAAGGAAACCCAGCAGCACAAAAATTTGCGATAAATTTAATCGCGCGTAAAATTGTTTCGCAGGCGAACGAGCAAGTTTCAGCAAACTTTACGTCAGCGTTTAGTATAGCTTTTATGGTGATCGGAATCTGGGCTGAATCGTCAGATTTTGGGGATTTATTTTTAGCGCATCTACAATCAAAATGCATCTACTCTGTTCCTATGTATTTGTTAAAACAAGATTCGCAGACTGAGGAAGAACATCAAAAACTTTTGGGATATATTGTGTCAGAAGATGGCGCCGTAGAGCAACAAGATAAATATTTACGACGAATGTCTGGTTTAGTTCGACTTTACGCAGCAGTGATACAATCTCCGCTACCACCAGGGGTCAGTGTTCACCCACATGGACTTGCAAAAGGTTGGGCCTGGCTGGCGGAAATGTTAAATATGGAACCACAGCCAGACGTCTCTGCAACTGTTTTATACGATTTTTTGGAAGTTGCCGGTCACGCTCTAATGAAGACGTATAAAATGCAATTTGAGAAACTTTTATATGTTCTATGTCACGATTATTTCCCCAAACTAGAAGAAATAACAGGCGTCGGGCATAGAGCGCCTTTAATCCGACTAAAAAACTTTTTGGAAAAATGCATCAAAGAGAAATCTGTCCCGATGCCAAAAGGAAGGCTCGATAAAGGGTTCTGGAACACGTACCACTCTGGAGAGGTAGTGGGAGAGTGAAGTTTACTTGTGATATACGGAATGAGTTAGAGCAGGGGTGTACAATCTGTGGGCCAAATGCGGCCAACAAGGAGAACTTGAACCACCCGTGGAGGAGCGACACTTTTGAATGGTCCGCAGCCAGCGAAATGAGTTTTTAATTTAATCTAGTATGCGAGAGTAATTCCATTGCGTCACAATGCCTATATCTGAGCTTGTGCAAAGCGAACAACGCATGTCACAAGATCAATAACCAAAATTTTTGTGCTGCTGAATGCTGATACTAGAAAGCCTATGTAAGGTGCGGCGCGGCCTGCAGTTTCATCCAAATATTTGTATCTGGACCTCGTGTATTAAAGGTTGCACACCCCTGAGTTAGGGGGTTGGACTTAATAATCTTGGCATCGGGGGGCGCAAGACTCATGGCCCGCCCCACCTCACTCAGGAACTTCATACAGAGCAAATAATTATGCCAATAATAGAGGTCTTCATTCGCCATAAGAAATTTCGCCGCTCAGGAAAAATCACCAGAGCATTTTGCTGAAAAAGAAGTATTTGTGAGAAACATTTAGGTTTATAGGGTTAGTGTATGCTCTGAAATGACGAACCTTTTTTGAATAAGGCAAGATTTCCAACAGCGAAATTTCCTGTATCGAAGTCTTCATGTAGGCCCAAATAGACTTTACTTCAGCTACAGAGCGACTTTCACTACCGTCTGTAGCAGCAAACTAGTCACTGCAAATACTTCCACAGATTGAAAGTGACTCCACCTCCATGCATTCATTTGGAGAAGGGAACTAGTTTACTATTTCAATTTCTTCCTTGAGCCGTTTTATCACTTTGCCTCTACGCTGGATATCTAAATGAAAATTCACCACTTTTTAACAGGTCGGATAATCATGTTAACTGTCTTCTGACTTTTAAATTGTTTTATTTTATTTGAATTTATGTGAAATAATATTTTTAAATATTTGTTGTGATATCAATGGTGTTAGCCGTGTTGGTGTAAAAGGTCAGTTCAAAGTTAGGCAGCTTATATAGGAATGTTAGGAAAGCAAATCCACTAAGAGATAGATAAAAGACGATTCAAATTTATTTCAATCCTTCATATAGATTTAACACAGAACAAAATCGACAGAAGATCGGTTAAATATGCAAACAAACCCAAAAAATAGGTTTATAATAAAGTGCTGTATCCACAAAGGAGATTGATCGATCGCTGCACAAAGTTACGGACGATCACTGAAGTGCCAATGACTACTGAGATTCTAAAGAATAATAGTGTAGTTAATTACGGTACTAGTGATTTACGCGAGACTTTGTCCCTAATCCATAGAAGAAAAAACTTTGTTCCTAATCCATACTCTTGTCATCGCACAGCTCTTTCTTGTAAGTTTGCTGCTTGTAGTTTTGTGGAACCTTCAAAGTGTGTTTCACTTCATCACTGGTCGATCGTGGATTTCTCTTAAATTTGTCAGGGAATATATTTGCAAGTGTGCTGCTGACTGGGTACGAACGAATACTGTGATGACCGACGCAGGAGACTTGTTGGACTAATCGCAATCGATGAGGTGGTTCACACATTCATTAGCTGATTAGTACTAACTAGGAAAGTGCAAGGCCTTTTTTTGTACTAATTATTAATAAGGTTTATGGGGAAGTTCGCAGGCTTCCCATAAACCTACATGATTTCAATAATTTTGGGTTCGGAAAAACAACACTCAAATCCAAGTCCCTTTTTACTTGTCTGCTTACAATGCAAAGTTAACATTTTGGCTTCGATTGCCCCCAATAAATGTCTAAAGTCAGTCTTTGAAGAACTCAAAATTTGGATTTTGGCAAATTAGAGAATAAGATTCCCAACATCTTCAAATCACACCAGGCTTCAGAATTCAACATTCCTGCTTTCCTGACCGTACTGTCTTGAACAATAAAAACAAGAACTCTACATGCATGCAAAAATACTTTATTGATTTCAGTACTCATGGTAAAATCAAAGGTAACACAAACTGCGTAAAATAATAGGCTTGAATATACACAAACATTTAAAATGCACCCATGCTGTCTGAAATTAATTGGTCATTAAAACCATGCAAACGCCTGTTAAGTATCGATGATGCATGACTAGTCAGAATAATCTAAAAGTGCAGGGAAGTCAAGATAAACACAGATTTAACTATTATTTGAATTTATCAATTCTCAGAAATTGACTAAAGGGCTTTTTTGCCCTTAATGTGAGACTTTAATTGCTCAAACAAAATGCTTCCTAACGCATGAAATTTAAACATAACATAATTTGCTCTTAATGATGTTTTGAATGGGACTAATCCAGATCCTGAAATCAAGAATTTCGAATAGCAAATATAAATGATTAGAATTGGGATTCATTTTGGACATCCCTAAAATAAGAGAAGCAACAAAGTACACACAATGCGGTGCTCTAGAAGTATGTACCAATATGGAGATAATTAATTTCGTTTGCCTACTTTACATCAAGTTGTGTAAAGAACTGAAACCTTCGGGCAGCAGTATGTTCACTTGGCTAACACAAAACAGTACCCGAACTCGTAATAGAACTAAAATATTCTCAGTTCAACGGGAAAGCTCAAGATAAAAATAGGAATAAAATGATTGCCTAATCCCTGGTGCATATACTCTGAGAGTATCCACAATTCCATTCATATCAGGGAAAGCAAATCATGACTTGAGAGAGTTTTACTAAGTTAAAATCAGGGATTCCAAATACTGATATGTCAATTTAGACATCCTTAGGGTGCTGTAAGACATAGCAAGAGTTTCAAGACAAATAGACAAATGTTAAAATTTTCAATTAAAAAAAAAGGGTATTTTTAAGCTGGTATTCTGTCATAGTTTAGAGCAGTGTATCCCAACCTTTTATGGCCCCATTCTGCAGAGCCCCTGTTTATCATGTTATTTTGTTTTGAAGATTCTAAAACCCATTATGTTCAAATAATATCTGCACAAAAAAGTGAAAACATTCTGTGAAATAACCTTATCAAGCAATAAACTGGGAAGAACGGGGACTTTGTTGTAAAGTGAAAAGTATAATCAGTTCTGCATCCAGCATCTGTGTCCCCCTCCCAACTGCTCTGTCCCCTGGTTGGTAACCGCTGGTTTAAAGCAATATTCCCCAACATATTTCCATGGAAACAAAAATATACATCTTCTCTCAAAAAAGATTTTTCAAGTTTTGCCTTCTTATGCATCACAATTTATGTAAGGGTATGCAAACCAGAGTAAACTTCAACAAAACTAAGTTAAGAAAATCATTATAGGAGAGACTTACCGGGCTCCAACCCCGAAGAGCTGTTTTCCAAAAATATTTTTTAGGATACAGTATTTCTATATAAACTCCTGTAACTTTTACTGAATACTTTGGTGAAAATTGTTTCAAACTGTGATTAGTACCAGTTTATAAAGCATCTATTTTTGCATCTTCTCAAATAAGTTTTTTGTTTAAACGTCAATATTTGCCGTTCTGTCTTAAAACTTTTAGGAGTTATTTACATGGGTGTACAATCTAAAATGAAACTAATATACTAATAGGCGAACTCATAGGTACAATGAAAATTATAAAATGAATTATTCCATGGTAAAATAATACAAGGCACAAACATAAAAATAGATATAAAAGCATAGTACATGGGTGTGGTAGTTTATAATTAGTCTAAAAACTTGATAATGTTGTAGCCACCCATCTCCTATTTTCAATGCAGCGCTTTTCGATCCAGAAAAGGTTCTCTGAAAGCAGAGTTGCTGATTTATGAAGGACAACGCAATTTAGTACTCTTAGTGAGGTCGTGGCATGCTCACATTCACTCTAAAGCCGTGGTTCTTAAACGATGGGCGTGTCTCACAAGGGCGTAGACAATTTTTTGAGGCGTGAACCAATTAGGAATAAAAATATTTGTTAGAATTGATATTGCCCGCCATATTTGGGATATTTACATTTCTTTATTTTGGATATTTACGTTCCATCCATGCGTTTTTGAATAAAACATACTTTCGCCTTACTGTCTGTTATTTGTAGCCTATTGTTAGCTAATTATTTTTGAGGTGGGCGCGAGACTTGACAAATACTAAAAATGGGGCACGGATTAAAAAGTTTGAGAACCACTGCCCTAAAGTAAAGAAGACTCGTCTCTGCAAATTTATGAACAAACAGCTAAATAATATCTCAACAAAAAACAAGCAAAATCATTCCGTATTAAAAACACAAGATGAAATTTCTCTAGAAAAATGAAATTTGGGAACAATTTTGAAATTCGGACAAGAATTTATACATGTTGATAGTATAAGTTTGTATCACTGGAGCAAAAATTACAAATAGGGAAAATTTTTTGTGAATGTGAATATTAAAATAAGAATATCTGGTATAGGCATAGGCATGATTAAACCAAACGGTGAAACCACACAATGCTTGAAAAATTTAAACGTAATATGCTCACAACGAGATTGATTCTGGGAGTGCTTGCATGTAGGATGCTTAAATTTTTGATACAAACTACCCTCATGGGCTCATTGCTACATTTTCTTTCAAACACAATACAAAGTAACCCCAAATGGATGCCTTCATTATTTCAAACAAGAGGTGTGAAACGCTAAACAGACTAACCGCCAAACACCCAGATATACAGTAATAATGATATTCAAAATATTCCCAAACAGAACGCACCATTTTAGCAATACGCTCACATTTCAAAACACAGCAGCTCCAAATGTCCAGTGATGCGAGTCTTGTTTAGAAAGGTGAAAAGCACTAAACAAATTCCTGTTAAACCTTATAAAAACCTAACCCAATAACCCACTCTCAAAATACAATATCTTTTTTAAAACAAAACACACCATTTTAGCAACATAAATATGAAAATTGGGGGTCTTGTCAACCTTGATACAATAAAAATTGAAAGGCAGAGCGAAGTTTTTTTCAGAAACCCCCCCAAGTGCTATTTTACATTTCTATTATTCAGCTCCATGGTGTGATGACATCGGAAAAACAAATTAATTGTTAATTAATATTTAAAAACATCAAAATTCACTACAGCACTAAGGAAATGACATAACTGCTCAAAGTGAGGTCAGAAGTATTCATATCATCTCAATAAAATCTCATGCTGATCCAAAATTATCTAGAAATATATATAAGAATATGTGAAAATAATGTGAAACTACAATTTTTTTTTTTAAAAGTCTACCTCCGAGGTACAAACAGTACAACCTTGTTATTCACACACGTACAAATAAGCGCATCATGATAAGCATTAGGAATACGCTTGCCATCTCTGATTACTCGACAGCTGCCTCCACCCTCAAGTCTATGAACCAGAAAACTAATAATTGACCAACTATTTCCACACCCGACATGAACTGGTAACATGACAAGAGGCCGCGGTACACCATATGAATAAGCAATCTTATTGGCTTATTCTCTCCCCAGAATAGAAATGTAAATCTTATACCATAACTGAACAAACTCAACGATACGTTGGGTGCTAAAAATAACAGCCATCGAATTGAATTTGTTATTTCTCTACTGCGTTATGTAGCTTTTTTTATCATACTACATACAAATTTTCGCAGTTCGGAATGACAGTAATAAGCCTAGCTGAGCAAGTCACATCTGTTCCACGATCACATGGTGTCACTAAACACTATTTTGAGTGAAAGGTAGCCGGTGTTTTCCCCCCAGGATGTACATGGTGTCAACAATGGAAAAAATATTCATTTTCATTCGATTTTGCATTCGAGAAACAGAAAAAATCCAACAATAATAAAATACATAACTTCTTGTAAAAATAGGAATTACATATCTCTCCCAACAAAATATCAAGTATATACTGGAAGACCCAAAAAAGCAGAACCCATGCAATATATTCCAAATGGCCTAAGTTCCGTTTTTTTCGGATCACCCTATATATTCATAAACTTTTATGAAATCATAGTCTGACTTCTCCATATAAAACTCGATAAGATTCATGAATGAGCTATAAATTATATCTTGTTTTATCTGAAGAAGTTAGAGACTATTACCCAACAAAAGCTTACAAATATACAGTGATTACTTATCGGTTTCGATCGGTAAGTATGTTGATAGGTATTTGTCTGTTAGACACGTTCGTATGTTACGCGATATCTCACGAAAGTGAGGTTGAATCTGCTCCAAATTTTGCATGTGCCTTCATCATATCTCGTACCAGAAGCCTATTGATTTTGGATGAAATTGCTATTGATTGCTATTGAGTCAGAGCAAAGGAATCGAAACTGCAGATCGGTTATCTAGTTTCAATTATTATATTGATTTTTTAGAAATTAAAGAAAAGGCTTTTGGTCAAACTGTGAATGTTTAATTACTCAAAATAATAATTGCTCAAACAAAATCTTAGGGAAGTAGGGAGTAAACAAGTAGAAAAAAGCATGTAAAAAGATCCCAAATTATGTAGGTATATAAAAACATAGAAATGTTGGCGAAGTAACTGTGAAATAGGTTTTTGACAAGTAGCCTTTAAAGTAGTTTTCAAATTAAACATTGGAATCTCAAAATTTTTCGACAATTCGAATAAACATGGTTTTGTTAGAATTCTAGTTTCATATAAAAAAAACAACCTATTCACCATTTATCAAAATATTTCAAAATGATACGCAAACGCAAAAAAAAGCTTTAATAACTATTTCAACACACTAGCAGACAGAGGGGTCTTGGTCAGAGTTTGAATTCTGTCACCCAGTGGTTATAAGTATATATAAGTATAAGTATAAGTTTCCAAAGTTGATTGACCGGGGGCAAATCAGAAGGATATTTGCGAGTCAAGAGAAGGGAATGCCTGCAAGGGGTCGATACCTTTACTAGTAACGAGGATACCGGTATAATTGAATTGTTACGAATATACACATTCTAAACTGTGATGATGTAACAATTGGCGCTAACAGGAAAACAAAGGAAAAACATGGAGTGTTAAACTATTTCACTTACGTTCGGGAGGTCATATCAATTGGCCCGCAGTTTGCAATTTGGGAACAACTGCTCTAATTTGATACTGGAGCTAGAAACTGCTGATGAAAACTGAAATCATGATTTCCAAAAAAACATAAAAAAGCATTAAATTGACTCAGCGGTCTAAAACAGTTAAAAAAGATTTGCCAAAGTTTTTGAAGTCAAAATTATAGAGAATGCATTATGTGTTAAAAGTTTGGGGAACCGTGAATTACACTCAATCTATACAAAAAATGGCCTAATTTAAAACTCATTAAATTGGTAACCTAACATACAATCATGAAATGAAAAACAAAATGATAAATGTAAAAATCCAAGCCATGTGGGAATATTCAGTGTTCACTTTTGTCTTTTTTGTCCGAGTAATTCCTTGATATCATCAATTGCTTTTAGGATTTCCTCTCCCATGCGTGTGGAATCAGTTTCAGGGTAGGATTTGATCGACGAAACATAGACTGTCACTGTAAAGAAATTATAATTTTGTTCATGAAACGAACTGGTTACCATTCTTTGGTTAGGATAGGATTTACATATTTATCCCGGGAGAGAAAAGTCGATGAGTCAGCTTAATCATATGGAGAACCACAGCCTCTCGACCGGTTACTAATCCATGCGGGGTATGGGATCAGTCAGCCGGTTATTTGTTTCGGAAGCATGGACTTGTTGGTAGAGGAAGCCGTAACTGACCAGCGGTTACGTGAACCACCCTACAGCAACGAGGGTGCTCCCGAAATATGTGCACCGAGATGGCGCACAACCTGAACATAGTATGTGTACCAGTATGAAGCCATCTTGGTGCACACACTTCCAAAGCCCCTCAACGAGGAATCCAGCAGTCTTCTCGCGCATAACCATCTCCGCAAGGAATTTGCCTACTTTGAACTCTTCATCATTATGCAAATGAAAATTGTTATTTGTTTAACCTTTAGAGAATCCTCGACTAGTGATACGTACAACTCGCAATCTGGCTTTTGTGAAGTTTGAATAGTTTATAATATGCACATAATATGTAATAAAAAAAACTCCAAAATAAGTTGCCAAACTAAGGGGTCACCCTATGCAAGCATAACTCTAATCGCACTAAAGGGGGTACTCCCATAGTGTGTGTACCAGGTTAGGGTTAGTCCATAATTTTATTCCAATTTTCCTTATTTTAGTTCTATTACAATTCGGGGACTGTCTGTGTTAGCCAAGTGAATATACCCCCTGCCCATAGGTTTCAGTCTCTTTACACAAATTGATGAAAATAGCCGAACAAAATTAGTTACCTGCATATTTGGACACATACTTCTGGAGCACTTTAAAGAATCGGCTAATATCGAAATGACAGGATGCTAACTTAATTCCAACAGCTACAACTCGAACAAGTTCTCACGATAAGAGCGTAAGATTTGTAGGGTCGGCTTATATGAGAAATTTTTATAAATTCACCGTTTTATGCAAGATTGGCTCATATGCGAGGATATATGGTGAGTAAGTAAAGAATATTAGTATTGCTAGTGGCAACTATTCTACGAGTACTCTTTCTACTTCCATTTGAGGGTCCGAGACCCTGTTTTTATAATATTGGGATAAAATCTTTTCTCTTTTATCTACTTACTTGCGTCATCAGCCAGAAATAGGTAATAAACTCCGTAACCATCTGGGCGTTGTGGTCCGAATACTCCTCCAGACGGGAACACTGGCATCGTTTTGAGAATATCGGAGTCGAAAGAATATGGAGATTGTGAAGTCGAGAGCTGGTCTGGAGATAGTAAGGCCTGTAAATAGTAAAGTTTAGAAATGATTTAGAAAAAGACAATAAATGGGTGGGCAATGCGAGGAAGAAAAGACCAAGTTCAGTGGTTTCCAACTTTTTTAATTGGGCGGAACCCCGAGTAATATTGCAGTAGGTTGGGGAACTCCTGTGTTATAGTTCAACTAAATTTTGTCGTCTGAATTGCATAAAGTATATATATATATATATATATACAGAGTGTTAAAAAATTTATGCAAAATTAAGGTGCAATTTTTCGTCATGGCAATGTTAAAAAAGTGACTGTTGGAAAGCGTTAGTCGTGAAATGTTTGAATGGCATTTTACCGTGAATCAATACTGTTAAAAGGTTTCAGTTGTTAAATATTTTAAGAAGTATTTCATCTTAACTTCTGTTAATTTTGCGTTACTTTTTAACACCCTGTATATATATACCGTATTTCCCGGCGAATAAGTCTACCTGGTAATTAAGAAATGGCCTGAAAAAATGGGTTTTTGCATATAACCTGCCAATAAGTCGGGGTAGTAAAATTGCATCAACATCGGAAACTCAAAATACCATGCAATGCCTTTTGAGCGGTCGCTGCGTTTGCGCATTGGTTAAAATAGCCTATAATGACGTTTTCTTGTAGCGTAATATTCGACCCATAATAACTACTGGAATTCAAACTGTCTTCAAATTTTAATCTAATTGTGTTCAACTCGCGATTTGCGTCCAGAACATTACCTAATACATAATAAGGCAACACCAAAAATATCAAAATTACCATACTTGTCTAATAAGACGACCCCCCCCCCCCAAAATAAGGCCAAAAATTTGGATCTAGAAAAGCGACTTATTCGCCGGGAAATACGGCATATATATATATATATATATATATAATAGCAAGTGTAATATTGGCAAAGTAAAATTATTTTCAAATTGTAGCAAGTTAATATATCGTGGCTAACCTAGTTATTTGAAATATTTGAACAATATACATATATTAATATAGATTCCCGGATTTCACGCTTCAACCACCTCACCTGGGCTGTGATAGTATTGGCAATGCCAAAACAGAAAAATACAGAGTACAGAGCCTTACTCGACTAAAATTGTCATAAAAAACAATTATTCACCTTATTTTGGAATATCCGTGGTTGAACTCCGGCCATCTTAGCAGCAATATATAACCCAAACATATGTCTGTCACAAGCTTGGCCATTCATGGCTTGTAGTTTATAGTTGTGTTGGTGGTTAATGGCTTTCTTCAGCAATGCAGCTTTCTCAGATTGCAAAACGTTAGGGTTGTCCATTGCCTAGAAATAGAATAGGATTTCAAATTTGTTCAGAGGGGAAAGAAAGCGATAAGACAGATTAATCATATTGCAAACGGTTACCAGTCCATGTCAGGTATAGGATCAGTTAGTCTGTTAATTGTTTCAGATACATATACTTGATAATAGAGGAAGCCATAACAGGCCAGCGGTAATGTGAACCACCATATGACAGTGAGGAGCAATTCTCTAGCACAAGGGTGGGTAAGGGTTTTGGCTGGCAGGTAATGTAAGCGTGACATAAAGAGTTAATTTTATAAAGAATATTTACAGTGTTACAAAGCAAAAGTGCGAAACAATAAACCTCGTGCCGAAACTAAATTTAATCGCAATCAAATTCCTTGAGCTATTTTTAGACCAAAATTCGGTTTTAGTTTGTTTGTGGCAGCATCATGCGGGCCAGATTAAATTTGCCAATGGGCCGGATTTGGCTGACGGGCTGTAGTTTTCTTATGTCAGCTCTAACATATAATTATCCCGGTTCTAGAAAATTTGCCGTAGGATATCTCACCGCAAGAGCATTTTGCTGTGAAACAAGTATTTGTGATAAAAACGGTTTTATTTAAAAACGGTTTTATTTAAAAAAGATTCAATATTTAAGAGCATATCCTAACCCTAACAACCTAACTGTTTTTATCACAAATACTTGTGCTTTTTCATGCAACGAGATTTCCTAAAAACAAATTTTCCGGACAAGAATTATCCCACATAGGATTCGAACCTGTTAATCTATGTAGGAGATCAAGACAAGACAGAATCTAATTCTGAGAAAGCTCACCACCTACCTTTGTGAAAGCAACTGAGGCCATTGAGACAGTTCTGATAGTTTCAGTTCTCCCATACTTGAAGAATCTGGAAAGGGTGAAAAAAAATTTTCAATGAACGTTAACAAGTGGCCAGAGCATTGGGCTAAATTATGTCAGTATTATAGACCTAGGCTACTCAACTATTTTCACTAAAATTCCGCCCACAAAATTAAAAAATTACAGAGGTCCTGTTATTCAAAAAATATATTTTAACCACGCAAACAAAATTTCAAATACATCGTTTGGCAAATGAAGCTTCAGTTGTGCACCCCCATAGCAACCGTCAAAATATATATAATTAAGTCCTCCAGCGAATATAATTAAGTCTTTAGCACTCGAAAGGTCCTGATTCAGACCGCAATTCGCCAGTTGAGTAGCCCTGTCGTAGACATGTTTCCGGCTTCGAATTTTGGCATAAAAACTGGAATTTACACACTTTTTTACTGTCTGCTGGAAGCGCTAAGTCAACTTCCCGAGTTTGGATTATTCCAGTTACAAGCCTGAATGATGGCACATAATTAGAAACTTCAACTTTGACTGTAACTCCAATGTAAGTAAAAACAGGTCAGACCACACAATCCTGATAGTTGGATCCAGCATTTTAACCGCTAGTCCAGGGTTTCTCCGACTGGTTATTTTTGTCTGTAATGCGTTTTATTCTTTTACTGGTTGGCTTTCGCTGTCTTTTTTTATAAAATGTGAAGCACAAAATAGTTGATGAAAACTTCTTAAAAAGCAAAAATGAGTAATTTCCTTGAAGAGCAGGAGGGTTTATGAATCTCGAAAGTTTGAGGATCTCGAAAGTTTGAGGACTACTGCTCTAGACACGCCGTCTAATTTGGTATGACCCCCTTTCTTTCCTCAGAAATTCCCCCACTCACCTTGTAGATGCACTTTCGTACGTTTTCGGTGTAGATTTATGCATTCTATAGAACGCAAGTTGAAGAGCCATTTGCATAAATCCATCGGGACTGACTCTGCATTTTTTCATCGTACCTTTGCCGTGGAATAGAGTGAACACTTTCACTTCAACATCATTGCACTGAAAAAAGAATTGTTTATAAATCAAGAGACCAGTTATCAGTACCTCATTTTTTTAATATACTAAAACACACTTCGTGTGAATGATATGATGAAGATCAAATATGGAATTTTAGGATAAAAGGGGGTACGAAAAAACAATACTGGATATACAGCACCCACAGTAAGTCCAACAGTAATTAATACAGAAGAGAGAAAAAGTCGAAAATAATTTCATTGAAAAAGTTAACAGCAAAAAAACAAACCAGTTACATACAAAAATAAGACATATGTTTATTCTAGGATCGGTCAACCCCGAGCCTTATTAAAATTGGTTTCCATTGTTTCTCGTTTGCAATTTTTCCGTCTATAAACAAATTTATTTTCTCCACCACTGATTAGGATAAACTTTATAGCAAAAAATCATAAGTAAAATTATCTTGTTCTGCAATCACTTGAAAAGTGCCCCTTTGTGTGTCACGACCCCAAACTCACCGGCAAGCTAAACACTACAAAATCAAAGTTCAAACTTACTAGTTTATTTAGATCGGCTTCATACTTCGGAATAACCTGAGTAAATTGTGATAAATCCCATTCCAATCTCTGGGGAGGAGAGACGTGAACTGGCCTCACAACAGCCTCCGAGCCTCCACTGACTGCATTGCCTTGGGAATCATATTTTGCATAGTTCCAAGCGAATTCCAGAAGTCTGCCGTATAACTGTAAAAGAGAAAAGCTTAAATAAAATTTTTTGATATTAAATTATTCAAGAGTCTTGCTGCACAGAAACGCAATTGTAATTTCACAAAATAGTGATCAAACAATATGATGTTTATTCATTGAATAGAGAATCAAAAATAGATGTTGTAAAATTCAATGGCGATATTCAAAGCTCAAAATTTCGGACATAAACTCAGCAAAAAGCAATAGGTCAAGCAGCAATCCCCAGACAAAATTATCAAAACTAGATTTTCTAGGATTGTGAAGCTGTAATATTTTTTCAGATTGATTTCGGGAGTACAACTTTTTCTGGCTCGGATTTTGGAGTAGGATTTAATTTACCCAGCCTTGTAATTTTCAGTAATAAATTCATAACAAAAGTAACTCACAGTTGCGTCTGCAGTCGAATGTTCAAAATGTAGGCCGGCTCTGCTGTTTTCGTGTACCTGTATGGTCATGCTCTTATCGCACCATAAGTTGTAACCTTGACTGCATAGATTGAACCAGGCTTCTTCTGTGAGGTTCTGAATAAAAGTAAAGTTGTTTAGAATCTCTCAGAATAGATTGGCACTTCCTGCTGAGCGCTAGTAACACGCTTGCCATATCACAGGTTTGAATCCAGTAGAGCAGGGGTCGGCAAAAGGTTCAATGGCGGCGAAAATATCCAAATGGGATTTTTGAGATGCAATGCAATGAGGAAATAAATCTATATTCTATTTCGAAAGATGTATCACTGCTTAATTTATATTATAAAAAGGATCATCTGTTTGGTTTTCAACTAAAAATATGTGCGGCCCCCCAACGACTTGCAACCCTTATATTAGGCATGAGAGCAACAAAAGGTTGCCGACCCCTGCAGTAGAGGATAATTATATTGAAGAATTACTGGACTTACTACTGCTGTAGGGTGGTATACGTAACTGCTGGTCGGTTATGGCTTCCTCCATCATCAAGTCCATGCATCTGAAACTTGACTATTACGATACCAGACATGGACTGTAAAATGGCAAGGGACGGTGGTTCGCCATATGATTTAGCTGTCTCGTCGGCTTTTTAATTCCTGGTATAACTACCGAAACTAGAATTTGCTCGAAGGATGGTTATGCCTACTCACTCAAAGTAAAAAAGCAATATCCCTGAGCAAACCTACAGGCGACAATTGAGCATTCCGAGATGCTAAGACGGCGCTCTAGAAATATGTGTACCAATACAGAGGTAACTAATTTTGTTTGCCTACTTTACATCAAGTGGTGTAAAAGGATGGAAGCCTATGGGTATGGGGTATATTCACTTGGCTGACATAAATCGTCCCCGAACTCATAATAGAACTAAAATAATAAAAATCGGAATAAAATTATGGTCTTACCCTAACCTGGTACACATACTACAGGAGTACGCTAAGACTATATGGAACCTCAGTAAAAACAAATCTCAACTCACCCCAGGCCTGGTATCTTCCAACACGACATGGAATATTGCACTTTCAACGTCTCGTAGACTAACAGCATTGACTCGCTTCAGTTGAAGTCTTTCCCGATCCTGAAAATAACAAAATATAGTTGCAAGATTTTATTTTAAAAAAATGCTGTAATATTTGTGGAATTGTAAGCATTTTATCTTCTTTTCAGGCTCTTCATGCCTTATTGCTATATAGTCCTTATGCCTTAGTAAGCTAGCTACTCATTCAGAGCCTTGTTCAGAGTAAAGTACGAAAACCCCTTGCAATTATACAAGATCTCTTTAGCACTCACATACTTAGAGGTGTCGCTGAAACTTTAACTTTAAAGTACGTCTATCGCAGTTGAAATATTGTAGGTCTGTTATTTTTTTCTTTTGATTAATTTTTTTTCTTCCGTTTTCCGTACCATAATTCATGCACAACGGAAATAAATATCTGAATGTACTTGGGTACTTGTTCAGTGACTACTCATATAGTCTTTGAAGAAAGTGTTGGCGTGAAATGCTTTTCCATATCTTTCCCATGGCTCACAATATTGTTTAGATGGAAATGCACCCATGGACAAACTTATTTATTTCGCTTACCCTGGCCCATACAGCTCTAGGTTGACCAGTGAAAAGAGACGGATTCTGCGCAGTTTCTTTGATATCAGCTGTGTCGTCCATGATTATTTCAAGTTGACGTTGAATTTCTTCTGCCGGGATTAACTTCTCTTCACCACTAGGTGTCAGACCATACACTTCAAGACGATACATTATTCCTTTCCTGTAAAATGTTTTTGAAGACTTAGTAGTAGGATAGCAAAAAATTAAGAAACAAAACTTAGCATGGTGTAACAGGGCGCAGGTTCGTATCATGCAAGAGATAGTTTTTTGCGAAAGGATTCCAGGGCAGTGGGATTGTTCACTGACCATAGCAATCCTCCAAACATAATCATACTTTGAACTTTCTAAAAAATAGTAGTTTTTCTTTACCACCAGTACCAGTGGTTGTTTGTTTGTCCAAAGCAATGGTTCCCAACCCTTGGTTCTTGACCCCCTTCTGGAGGCTTCAAGCACTCATGACCCCCTTGTTTGTCATTACAGTAGTATTAGTAGTGTTATGTTTATTGTTAGATACCTAATCCTGTTATGTTCAAACAATTCATGCGCTCAGCAGCACAGCAAAGTGATACCATCATGTGAAACAACCTTATCAAGCAATGAAAGTATATAGTTTCAGTTTTCCAGTAAAAGTAAAATCAGTTTTGAGTCTAGCATTGTGGCCAAATCTGCCCCGTTGGTTAATTCAATCTGGCCCGCCTAATGCTGCCACAGCCAAACTAAAACCAAATTTTGATGTTTTAGCCTAAAAATAGCTAAAGGAATTTGTTGAGATTATGATTAAATTTAGTTATGGCACGAGGCTTATTATTTTTCACTTTTGCTTTTGTAACATTGTAAATTAAATTTTGTTCGCCAGTCAAAGTGGCCGAAATTTTTGCCCCCTGGTTCAAAACCTAGCCCACCTCTGCTTTAAGAGCTTGTATTGGGAAAAAAGGAAACTTAAGATTACCGGGCCGGCGAAACCAATAAGGAGGACAGGTCTTAGGTTTAAAGATTTCGGTTTCCTTTTAAGTTATTTTTCAGCAAAATTTTGATTTAAATCTTATATGAATAGCATAATCTCTTTCCACAAAATAGTAAGTTTATTTATGAGCTTTCATTAGATCATAGACTGCCATATCTTGTTTTATCTGAAGAAGTTAGACTATGATCTAACAAAGAAAGCACACAAATATACTTGCTATTTCATGGAAAGAGATTATGTTATTCTTTTTTAACTTTATAATACTATCTCATTCAAGCATCCTTGTGGCAAATAATACACACTGTTCCATTACATTTGAACCCGTAATATGAATCCACGACAATTGCACCTGCATACTATTGCACCTATGGAAATTTTTTTGTTTTACGGATATTTGAACCCATACCAACCCTAACCCATGTATTTTAGCACCCGCATATAGATTGAACCCGCGGATATACAGGTGCAAATGTATGGATTCAAATGTACGGTCACCGATACATACGGATCTGTAATAGAAAAGTAAACAAGGCGAAAGGACTTACAATACAGTACACAATACCCTAGTACACCCCTCAAATCTTACAGTTAGATCACCAACCTGAATACAATAATGTGCTTGGAATCGTCATAACATTTCAGTTCATCCATTTGTACGCCAGGTATTCGGGTGCAGGCCATCAAGAATTTGTATCGATGAGCGCAGATAGGAACCAGGTCGAGTACAAGAATCGAAGGAAGCTGCGAAAAAAAAAGAACAATGTTGAAAATTAAATTAGTTGAATATTTAGAATGAACAATGAATAAATGCGAGCTCCCTCTAACTCCGATAGAATAATATATTGGGATCACTGTTATCCTTGGTCATAATCTGGCAATAAAATGTTACTTTCAGGTTTATAGTTTGAATATCTCACTTTTCGACACCATGGGGTAAGGTATGTATCTCGTGCAACATTTAGCGAAAAAGTGACAAAAACAAGCTTTCTAATGATGCTTGAATGAAGTTTCACAAGAAGATTCAACAGAAAGATATAACATTTTTGTGAGTCGCCCAGGACCATCTGACAAGAAGAGCCATCTGATTGGCTTTCCTCTCCCCCAGGGATAAATATGAAAATCGTATTGTACCCTAAATGGAGTTTGGTACAATGACTTACAAGTATAGTATACTTTCACCATGCGTGACATAGATAGACAGCTTGTTAAAATTTGTATTAACCTGCGTAAAATAGAACATGCAGGTTCACTTACTGTATTATTTTTCCTCATCTCGTAGAAGGTAAGATAAGAGTAAGCAAGACTTGCAGCTCTTCCAACTTGTTTGACAGCAGGACAGGCTTTCAATGTTGTTTTGTTCAAAGCAGTTAGGCACCCTATGCTCGTGTTAACGACGATCGGCGTCCGTTGGGAAAGATAAGCAAAATTATCCCACAGTTCAGCAACCCAGTTTTCCTCTGTTTGATACCTATAAAAGGAAATGTGAAAATTGGTAAGCGTTTTTGTTTTCGAGCTTCGCGTGGCAAAGCGATGGTTTTAGTTGGTTGCTTTTATTTAGTCGCGTCAAGATTGCTACATCCTGTAAATTGTTCTTTTCCCTTTTTCAGCATAGCAGTCAGTAAAGTTTAAGTTGATAAAAGCCTAGAAAACGGTCTAAGTTTTACTCAAATGGTTTCACTTCAATTCCTAAATGAGTTCCATGGGCCCTCAAGGATCCACAGTGTCAAAGCAAGGAATCAAATGCGGTGATAGTTATGTGCGAGAGAATTACTGGACTCCTCGCCACCTAAGGGTGGTTCAAGTAACCACTGGTCAGTTACGTTTTCCTCTACAACCAAGTCCATGCAAATAACTGGCTAACTGATCTCATACCCCGACTGGTAACCGAACGAGAGGCCGTCGACTTTCCCCTACCATAGGATAAATATGTAATTACTATCTTACTTTTTCTCCAGCATAGCATGCAGCATTGGGCCTTCTCCCTTCTCAAACTCTCGCATCTCGTCCGTCATTTGCTTGAATTCTTCTTCTGTTACCAGAGGTTGGAAAACTTCTAAGAGTCTGAAATAAAAAGAGAGAAATATCCATTTTTGTACAAAAATATTGGGATCTATCCTATGGTCCACGAATGCAGTCATTTCAATTTGCAAAAACACTCGTGAAATATTAAAAATTGAGCAATATGGACAATTTAGGCTATAATTTGATTCCAATTTTCCTTATTACGAGTTCAGGGACAAGACAAGTGATTTTGTACCTGAAATTATGGCCTAACCCTAACCTGGTACACATACTACGTTCTGGTGTCCGCCATCTTGATTCACATACTTCGGGAGTACCTATAAATTTCATGCCAAAATTTTTAATTTAATACCAACCTTCTACAGGTGTCTGACAACCTTGGTAGCGGATACTTTGGCAACACATGTTGAAAAGCGTACATGACCTTTTTCCGTGGTACGAGAATTTTTAAGGAGAGCATCCAGAACTGGGAAAAAATGCAATCAATGAATAGAATAGTCATTTTCTCTCTTGCCACAGCATCCTTGCGTTATACGCATACACCAGCGCAAAGGCATGTAGAGCAAGGAAAGTTACCGTAGTTAGTTTCACGTAACCCCAACTGGTAATTAATTGGAGTAATTAATTGGAGTAAGTAATTGGATATCTACTATTTCCAGAATATTCTAAAACATTTTTTAATTATGGAATGTAAAATATATTCTAAATTCTAAAAAGACTGGAGTTGATGCCGGAACTATCATTTTTATTGTTCTGGAGGAGTAGTTTTCAATCTTTTTTGCTCACTGGAATCCTAATGAAGCATTCCAAAGGGACTCCCATGAGAAAGTTTTAATCGCCTTATATTGTCTGAATTGTATTAACTATAATTATATATAAAAGCGAGATGGCAATGATTCGAAATTTTTGACTGAAATGTTTCGAATAATTTCCAAGCGATTCTAAATGCCCAGCTCTGGTTTTTAACGCCCTTTCATACCGTGCCATCTTTCCTAATTAAACACAGGAATATGAGTCAACGTTTTCCTAACCAGAAAAAAAATTCTTACCCAGTATTAGGTTTTGTTTTTCCGGAGAAAAATTGAATTTGTATTTGATGTCTACCAGCTAATATTGTTTTTTCGATAGTTAGAATTATTGTAATGCGTATTTCGACAACTCAAAACCAAACAGTGCTTAAGTCCACTTTTCCAAAAAATGACATTTTTCAATTGCTGATTTTCCTGGACTTAGCTCTACATTTTGGTCTATTTGCCTTATCTCTAGGTGCTCTAGATCTCAAGACAGCTATGGACATAACCCTGCTTTTTTTAGGGCATTTGAGAACTAAACAGAGCTGTGTCTACTATAGTGGACTTAGCTCTGGATAACTGCATTGTAAGTTGGGGCTAAGTCCGTTTTTTGGACATAGCTCCTCTCAAAAAATATAATACAAAGCGCTAAGTCCATACCAGCCTCTATAATAACATAATAAAGGGGCCCCAAGTCCAATAAAATTGTTTCTGATCCAGAAAATTGAGAGCCAAAAAGGGTTAAGTCCAAAAAAAAACCCAAAAAAAATTGGGGCGGAGCACAATTTTTTTTATACCATCTAAATATGGCCTTCATTGTAACTTTGGTGGACCATAAAAACTAGACATCCTCGATGTAAGGTATTTGAGAAATAAAAAAAAGAAACAAAAAAAAAACGTTTTTTGCATTTTTCTCAAAACTAGAAAAATGGACTTAGCCCAATTTGGATTTCATGCGTCGATTTATGAACAGATTGTAAATTTTTTAAACTGCACAAAAGTCAAAGTGTGACGCTTAATACTAACTATAGATTGAACAAATAACTGAAGTAGAGTTTTTATGCAAAGTGGGGGGGAGGGTTCCGAAATAGGTAAAAGGGGGAATTTATTAAGTTAAGTTAATATTTACCTTTGTCTTCATAGCTTTTGGATAATTCAGCCAGTCCCTGTAACAAGATAAAATATTCATGTAAAAAAAACACACGAAGTTTTTGAGGGATCCCAGAATTCAGATGTTCTTGAGACGAAAATATCACTCTCCACCTTTTTATTTATTGATATACTATAAGCTACCCAAACTGAGCAAAAGCCAGAATGAGATTATTGTGCGGCACTGGCTAATGATTCATTATAGATTAAACAAATAACGGGAAACAGAGTTTTTATGAGTAGTGCGGTGAAAAAAAGAGATTCGAAATAGACAAAGGGAGTAATTTACCGAAAAACTTGGGAAACACTGCTTCTGGATAGTTTACTATTCCGAATATGAAATTTATTTGAATAGGGAATATTAAATGTATCATAAATTAAACAATGTTTTAAAAATTGACATATTTATGAAAATTGCCCATTATAAGGCAGAGGACAAAATTAAAATGAAGTCAATTGTACATATCTTTCAATGCTAAATGAGGAAGTGAGCTGATTTTAATAAAACATTCAATAATTCGAAAGCTCATAACAAAATGTATTCATAATAAATAAAGCACTTCTTCAAAATTAAATGTTTCAAGACTTCCTCGTAGGCCATAATTTATAAATGCGGCCGATTCGCGCTGCCAAACATTCCGTGGATATCATATTACTTGATAATGACGCTCTGAACCCTCTTAACCTATTTGGCTGAAGAGTATCAGTGACACGGTTTATATTAAAGTATATTTACACAGAATACGGAGTGGGCGCTTTGTTTGGAGAATGATAAGTAATCTTATAATACTGAAAGTCATTGAAACGTAACTCTCTATTGAACAACCTATAATTTTTTATGAAATTTTTTAAAATCTGTGAAACCACATTGGTAATGGTTAAGTGTTATACCTCAAAATCTAAAACATTGTATTTTCAAATAGTCAAATTGGGAAAATAACAAGTTTGCTTCTATGAATCCAGTCTCCAAACTTGCCAAACTATGATCTAACTTCTGATAAAAATATTTCAAAAATTCACCAAACCTGTAAGTAAGAAGCTTTCTAACGAGACTCCATCTAATGAGGCCCATCAAAGTCCAGAAGAAAACTCCGAGAAGGAATCCAGCAATTGCTGATGCCAGTTTCGCTGCTGGAAGCCGAGTGTGAGATGGGAATGGGTAGGTCGTGCCTGAGAAAGAGAAAAATCAATTAGAAGAGATGCTGGACGAGGATACAAAATTTGTAGACAACAGAGTTCATCCCAATGGTGAAATTCAATTTTTTGTCAGCCGGTTTCACCACAAAAGTCATATTTTTCTGCCGGTTCTGTTACAAATAGAACAGCAGTAACCAGTAAAGCAAACCGATTTGCTGATCTCATAAAATTTCATGAGACGATTCTATAGAACCGGTGCGTACCGGATGAATCCCACCAACGGTTCATCCATGATTTCACTTTGAACATAGATCAACACAAGCTATAAGTTTGCCAGCGTGAGGTCTACGGTGAGGTCAATATGACGCCTCCCAGATAGTGTTTATTTCAAGTCAGATTAGCTTCAGATCTTCAGGTTCTTAAATGTTTTAAGACTTTTTAGAATTCAAGTCTCACACCCCACCTCAAAAATAACTAGCTAACAATGATAATAACAGATAGTAAGGCAAGAATATGTTTTATTCAAAACACACTTTGAAAATACGTGTACATAAAATAAAGAAATGTAAATATCCAAAAAAAGGCGGGTAAATCTAACAGATATTTTTAATTTAATTAGCCCCTTGAAAAATTGTCTACCTCCCCTTGTGGGGCACACCCCACCATTTGAAAATCACTGGTTTAGATAGGGCATGTGCAAATTAAATATGAAAAAATAGGTGAGAATGCAGCCGTAAATCTCACGTTATAGTTTCAGCCTGCGTCTATCACATGCTGTAGTGCCAGAGTTTATGGATTACCATCAAAAACTGCAAACAACAATGGTATCAACCACAAATTATTTCACTAGTAACTAAATAAACCTACCTTGAGGAGCCAAGTTGGTCAGCGTTTGATCGACATTATCGTGGAATCCAGTAGCAAATATTGCCGCCATCACCATTCCGACGAGGGTTGTGTACAGCAGTTCACCATCATCCTTCATGTACATCGTAGGCATCAATGTAGAACTCATCTTTTTTTTTAATTAATTCAATTTTATATATTAGTTGGATCTAGATGTAAAAACTGGAAAAAGTGAACACTGCATTATTTTGAGCTTTTATTCGATCATAGTCAAAACAAGATTCAGCCCAATCAAACAGCAAATAATTATTTCAAATTGAATTGTTTTAGAAACTCTGTCTATGGTTAACAATTTCAGCAGACTAGTTTAAGAAACCTTTCATTGCTGAAATACACATACATTCTGAATAGGTAATAACCTTCAGCTGCAGTTAGCAATGCTGGTGTGTGAAAGTAGTAATTAACATGCCATAAATTATTAAGCTATCTGTTCGAGACAACGTAGAAACGCCCTCAGGGTGAATTTAGAGAGTTAGTTTCGAACATAACAACCTTGGTTTAAACAATTTCTCAGAAAGAAATATCAGTACTATTCTGTTATTGTCTTACAACCATCAGTTATTATCGGATAAGTTTTTTTTCAGGCCAATAACTCTAGAACTCTGGTTCCCAACCCTGGGATGCCTTCCCAAGCGCACCACAGAGCAGTTGGAGGGGGCAGTCGAACTCTCCCTGCCCAAATTATTCATGAAAACTCTGTAACCTGTCCAATAGTTCTTCAATCAAGAATTCATCATTATAATAATACTAACAACTCTTACTCTTGTAAATCTTCAATAGTCTGTGTGTGTATAAATACGATATTTAGAACAATAATAGTAATACTATATGAATTTATTAGTGATACACTAAATAAAAAATATTAACTCCTCCCTAGTTGCAAAATCAAATTCCTACAAGAAACGAATTTCCCTCTGTCCTGGATTAGAGTCCAGCGTAACCAACTTACTAAATCAGGCCTCCAACCCTATATGCAGCAATATGGATCAATATGCACCATCACACGTTTCCTGATGTGCAGACAATGACAGGAAACAGATGCAATTACTAATCTGACAGTGTTAGAGAGATTAAACTTTTGCTACAAACAAAACCATATACAAGCTGCGAGTCTAGTGTGTGTCGTACCTCCAGAACTTCTAATGGGCATGGCATAACAATTTTTGCATACGTCAATCCAAACCCCCACCTGACTACGCCATCCAAAAATTATGTTACTACGACAACACAGAGATGTAATAAGGCCCTCCAAACTAGACGAACTGTCATCAAAAACGCGCAGGCGATTGCCCGGTATCGAACAAGCTATTTCTCTCATAGCAACGATCCCGATATGAGAGAGATAGCTGCCGTTAGTGAGCTTTTCATCTCGACGCAGATGCCATTTCGAACGATCGTAGGTAAACTTTGGCAAGCTCTATGTCGTAAACTTTGGATGTTGTAGTCAGTTGGGGGTTAGGATTGGCTTATGCAGAAAACGCTTCGCTACGTCCACTAGAAGTACTTGAGGTCCGAAACTACACTAGACCCCAAGCTGCTACTAATATCTAAAAATATATGAAGTTACTATTGTTTGAAAAATGAACCCGACTTGTAACAACATGGAATCTTTTCAGTTCAGCAATGCTTTACCAATCAATATTCACACCGAGGGTGAGGTGGCAGGCTTGGGATAAGAACCTGCGATGACAATACAGTCAAGTCTAATGAATTAACTGTTTGCATGTCGCTTCCACGAAAAAATTATGAATTATTCAAGATTGTAGTATAGTTCGAGTCAGAAGACGTCTAGCATTGGTTCCCAACCTTTTTTCTTCCGTGGCCTTATTTCGTTGTACAAAAAAATCTGTGGCCAATTAACTTTCATATGCACAGGAAAAACTATAAGAAAACAAAAAATTCTTTTTGCAGAGGTAGGAACTTCCACTTGAATAAGTAAATAAAAAATTAACAATTAGTAGCAAAAAACATCATTAACTTTCATTTCCAATACAATCAAATTTAACCAATTTATCAATAAATCTTACATTTTTTACAGATTTGTGCTCCACCTAAAACATTTTCTGTGGACCAGCAGTGGGCGAAAACTAGTCAGATTCCATTTTTCAACTCTCAGTTTAGGAAATGATTTAAAATAGTTTCTTTTGAAAACTTCGAACAATTGAATTGAAGACTCACAGTATGAATGGAAAGGCCATTATCCAGTTTCTGAAAATTGAAAAAATACAAAACCAACATAACCACTGTTCATCTTAAGTTTTTTTATTTTCGGATTACAGCTCATTTATTATATATTGACTTCTATGTCTCCTTTTTTAAATACGGCTCGACCTATAATACATTCTATATTCCATATTTAAAAATATTACTTCGGACTCAGAATGTGGCATATCTGGATATGTTGCACAAGCGATTCATTATTGTTATCTATCACTGAACAACTCTGAATAAAACAACGATGCTATAACCCAGAAGATATACAAATTGAAATATCACTATATACCGTAAATACATTATTGAGACCATCAAGGTCAGCGATACAACACTTACGATAATTTAGGTTACAAGAAGTAATCAATCAGTCAATAGAAGTTGGACTTTGAACTAACAGTTCCCGTAAGCCAACACTTTTAGGCACTGATATGCTTTATTACATTTTTTTAGTTTCTTTTGGGAAAAATTATTTCAAGCAATTGAAGTCTTATAGTATAACCAAGAAGGCCTTTATCCAGTTTTTGAAAATTGGAAAATACAAAACCAACCTAACCACTGTTCATCTTAAGTTTTTTGTATTTTCGGATTACAGCTCATTTAATATATATCGACTTCTATGTCTCCTTTGTTAAATATTGCTCGACCTGTAATACATTCTATATTCCATATTGAAAAATATTACTTCGGACTCAGAATGTGGCATATCTGGATATGTTGCACAAGCGATTCATTATTGTTCGCTGTTATCTATCACTGAACAACTCTGAATAAAACAACGATGCTATAACCCAGAAGATATACAAATTGAAATATCACTATATAAATACATTATTGAGACCATCAAGGTCAGCGATACAACACTTACGATAATTTAGGTTACAAGAAGTAATCAATCAGTCAATAGAAGTTGGACTTTGAACTAACAGTTCCCGAAAGGCAACACTTTTGGGCACCGATATGCTTTATCACATTTTTTTAGTTTCTTTTGGGAAAAATTATTTCAAGCAATTGAAGTCTTATAGTATGACCAAGAAGGCCTTTATCCAGTTTTTGAAAATTGGAAAATACAAAACCAATCTAACCACTGTTCAACTTAAGTTTTTTGTATTTTCAGATTACAGCTCATTCACTATATATTGATTTCCGTTCATTTGTTAAAAATAGCTCTTCCCATAATACATTCAATTCTGCCATCCCCAATAAAAAGTAACCTGAAAGATACATGAATTGGAATATCACTAATTAAATACATTACATCGCCTAAAACCAAGGTCAAAAATACAAGAATTACTATCACTTCGGTTACAAGAATCAATCAGTCAATAGAAGTTGGACTTTGAACTGACAGTTTCCGTAAACCAACATTATTAGGTCCCAGTATGCTTTATTTCAATTTTAAAATCTATAACCCATAAAAATCTTTGAGGCGTGACCAGTCACTCCGATAAGCAAGTGCCATTGCTGCCCATTTTTGCTTCACTGGTTAATTTATTAAGGCCTTGACAATCAAGTTTCTCATCACATGAATGAATTACGATAAAATGTCGCAATGTTCTCAAACATAGAGGTGCGTTTCACAGAAATCTGTCATTATTTGCTATTCTATTTTACTATAAGAGTAAACAAACCAACGGCCGTACATTGGCAAATAGTATCGTACACTGAGAGCTATTTCTAAGTTGATAATAAAGATTTAGTACAGGGACGTCCAATCGAATGATATCTACTAGCTCATAGTATTTCAGTGAACGTTGCTCGAGCATGAATTTCCTTGACTCCTGAGTGAGTGCCCATAACTTCGCTGAGATGGGTCTTCTTTATGTCTGAGTGAGTGCATGTTACTCTGCTCAGAGAGACGAGTCTCTTCTACATCAGAGTGTGTAACCATAACTCTGCACAGAGATAAGTCCCCTTAACTTTTAAGTGATTGCCCATAACTCTGCTCAGAGATGACATCCTTTACTTCTGAGTGTGTGCCCGTAACTTGGCTGGGAGATGAACCTGCTTTATTTCGAAATGAAAGCATGTAACTTTGCTCAGAGATGAGTCTGTTTTACATCTGAGTGAGAGTGCATGACCTCCTAATTATCCTAATAAAGAATAAAACTTCTGAGGGAGCGAATATGACCTTGCTTTGAGCAATTTCTCATATAAAAACAAAACTATCTGACTGGCAAACTTATCTTAACCTGTGAAATACGTAAAATGTTTGTTCTGACAAAACCGCAATTACTGTGTCATCAATTTTGTTTGCCACATAAATAATTACTGTCTGGTGATTGGCAAACATGCATGTAATGCATTATCAAGCAGGAGAGAAATGCTAATATGCATGAATGTCGAGTGATAATAAGATCAACGCGATATCAGCAAATTTTCAATCGAATGTTAGAAGAATTGTACTTAAAGTCATGCTTTGAACGACAAACAACAGAGAAGTAGGAAGCTAAATCTCAGGCCCAATGAAACTCGAGAAAAAATTCGAAACACAGTGAAAATGATGAACTTATTCCATCTTTAATCAATTAATCACCATTTATTTGTCAAACACAATATAAATGCATCATAAAAAACATTGAAAAAGGCTGTATCTAACTACGGTAAGTTCAATTGCGACAGGAATCGCGAGACCTCAAAATGTCTTCGGCAGCCACGCCTGCTGTACCGCAAAGTTTGAAAACAAGTAATCTATAGGGATGCGACGAATCCAAAAAGGTTCGGCTCGGCCGAATCCCGAGTATCTGTGCTGGACTCGTGTCCGAGTCCCGAGTCCAATACTTTTACATAGCTATGAAACAAATACCTAAAGTGATGCTGTTGTTCTCGTATATTGGCCGTAATTTAAACATTCTGTATGAAAAGACTATGTAATTTAAAAACGTTGCACATAAACACTATTGCTTTCGAGGCGATCATTCTCTGAGCGACTAGTTTAAATTAGAATAAATAGGTCATATTCCTCGTCG